TTTCGTCGAAGACATCATAAGAAGGAAAGTGAAAAGCCATGCAACCTCTGAAGAGACAACTAACACAACACCTATACCCCCTATTAGACTATATTACAGGAACTTCTTTTCCACAGCTCATAAAACGGAGGAAAGGGTCCTGAAAGATATTGTTAATAGAAACGTTATCCCTACAGACAAAAATCAGAGGATACAACTGACGATTTACTATAAAACCAGAAAAACGGCCAGCCTACTCATGAGAAACTCTCCAGACACAAAACAAAACGCTTTAAAAGAGACTAACGTCGTTTATGCCTTCAAATGCCCTCTTGGGGACTATAAGCTCCAAAAAACCCAGTATATAGGCAAGACAACAACATCTCTTTCTAGGCGTTTAACGATGCATAAGTAACAGGGCTCCATTAAGGAACATATAATCTCTTCCCACAACCAAACCATCGCCAGAGAAATCCTAGTAAACAACACAGAAATCATCGATAGATACAGCGATAGCAGGCGGCTTGACGTTTGCGAGGCACTACACATCAAGAAGTCAACACCAGCAATCAACAGCCAATTATTGCACAACTATATTCTACCCACCTCAAGACTCCGCTCCAATATAGAAGCATCAAGAAATATGGACCAATAGGCTTTCTACAAACACTTCTATTCAATATCTATTGTTTCGTGTTCTGTCTTGTGTTGATGAAATTAATACCCTATTAATACTCTTGTTCTGTCTTGTGTTGATGAAATTAATACCCTATTAATACCACATCTTGTTCTGTCTTGTGTTAATGCCACATCACCCCTTCCACCTCACTCAAATGTAGATATAAAATCGGAGATGCGTAAGTTCTATTCAGTTGTGTATTTGTGAACTAAAGTCTTTGAAAATGTAATAAGTTTTACGAAATGCGCTCGTGTCGCGTCAGACTAGAAATAAAAATGAATTTTGGAGAATTGATTTTTGATTTACCTCCAACAGTGAAGCGAAATGTACGAAAGATTGAGAAAATTCGTGTTAGAATTATTAATCTTACTTTTTCGGTCATATTTAATAATATATGTCTACAGGAAAGACTGCTACCAAAATATACTAATATATATATATATATATATATATATATATATATATATATATATATATATATATATATATATATATATATATATATATATATATATATATATATATATATATATATATATATATATATATATATATATATATATATATATATGTATATATATATATATATACATATATACGCGAACAAGCCTGAATGTTATATATATATACAGTTAGTTATATATATATATATACATACACACGTTAAGCTTACTTCATAATACTTCAAATTATGCTACAATATACCTATTAATAATCTTCAAATTTTACTACAATGTGCCCATTATTATTATTATTATTCAAATTTTGCTACAAATTACCTACTAATAATTATCTGTTAGATTAAGGACTTGTCCGTAACGCTAGCGTGATAGTGGCTTTACAGAAATGTAAAACATCAGAGAGGTGGTGGTGCAGGAATTTATTACCATAAGGCGCTACCATGCACTAAAGTTATCACGTATCATTATAATTATGGAGAGTATATATTTTCCCAATTCAAAATGAAGGGCCTGAACACCACCTTACAGGATTCCTAACACTGATGTAGCTGGATTCAGTTCCAATCTTAGAAACTTAATAATAAGGAACAAGTTTAATAATAATCAACTAATATTAACTGGAGATTTTAATATTGACCTCTGGCAGCCTCATTACCCACTTGTTGCCCGCTTCCTCAACTTTGTGAACTCCTGTATGCTTTGGCCTTTGATAACTAAACCCACCAGAATTACTGAAACAACTGCCTCCACCCTTGACCACATTTGGACAAATATAACCTCTCCACTTACCTCAGGAATAATCACTGGTGATACAACAGACCACTACCCAACATTTCTCCTGACCAGCGTGTCTAAACCTCCTCTTGAAACAAAGAAAATAAGCTTTAGACTGCATACTAAATCCTCCATAATAACTCTGTAGCTGCTGCTGGCAACATACAATGGGAAACGGAAATCGGAAATATGACTAACATTAATCTAGGAGTGCAGACATTTCTTTACAACACTCAGAGCCTCTATAATACTCACTGCCCTTTACTTAGTAAGCAAGTTGCTTAAGCAAGTTGCAAGTTGTTGACTGTTGTAAGCAACAGTGTCCGTAGTGTAGTGGTAAGACACTCGCCTGGCGTTCCGCGAGTGCTTTGTCATGGGTTCGTATCCTGGCCGGGGAGGATTTACTGGGCGCAAATCCTTAACTGTAGCCACTGTTTAACTCAACAGTAAAATGTGTACTTGGTTGTAACAACGATTCTTCGCGGCGGGGATCGTATTCCAGGGACCTGCCCGAAACGCTACGCGTACTACTGGCTGTACAAGAATGTATCAACTCTTGTATATATCTCAAAAAAAAAAGTTATAATTAAAAGGGGCCAACAACCCTTGGCTCACTAAAGGGTTACTTACTTCAATTAATAAAAATCATGAATATGAGAAGAGATGCAAGCTAGATGTTATTCTCAGAGAACTGAAATTTAATTAACTGTTTTTTATTTAATGAGCGTAAAGCAAGCTACAGCTGCCAGGTATTTGCTGCGCTACCTACAACACCTCACAATAATAATTTAATTTATATTTGAGATCATTCATATTTTGAATGAACAGCATGATCAAATTGATAAAGGCATCTCTGGGCTCGATTGCTGGATGGAATGGACTTGGTGTGAGGACGGGTTGTTTTATTGTGGGTGTTCAGTATCTCAGTGGTTAGAGCTATGGCATACCGCTCTGGTGTCTGTGGTTCAAGGCGTCTCTGGCCCAAGTGAATGGAATGTTTAGTTGGGTTAGATTTTTTGAATCAGAAGCAATTATTTAGTTTGTTTTTTTCTTGAGTTAAACATGGCCTTTTCTTATTCCAAACCTAAGTCCCACACTCACGGGTTCTTAAACCTGGACGATGGGGGATGCAAGAGTAAGTGTCACACAGGGACAGGGTCCTACACCCTCTCCCTGTGTTGGGTCTGGGTCCTATACCCAGGCCGTCCCTGTCAACTTTGTCCTGGTATAGGACAAAGTTAGCGTATGTCAGTAGTGGACATGTGGGGCTACAAGCGGCCTCGGGTCGCGTGTTGAGCTGCCTGAGGTCACTTGTCATGAAGGAAGACGACTCCTGTGGAACCGTCCCGGGGGACTCTCTGAGGTGGCCACGGGCCTCTCGTGTCACTGCATTCGGAGGCCAACATGATAGAGCTGATGAATTAGCCAAAGAATCTGCCTTTAAAGGATAAATTGAGTATAACCTTGGATTGTCGATAAGCAGTCTGAGAGCAATAGTACACCAAGAACTTCAACAAAATCTTGTAGATCTGAGGCAAAGTGAAATAGACACCATCTATCATCATACTATCATGCACGACGAGCCTCACATCTATGGTTCGTACAATAAACACATCTATGGTTCATCCAATAATCACATCTATGGTTCATCCAATAAACACATCTATGGTTCATCCAATAATCACATCTATGGATCATCCAATAAAATCAGCAGACTTCTAGATGTTACTACTGCTCGGCTTAGACTCGGTTACAAGTATCTCTGGGAATTCTCATTATCTGCCGATGTAGACCTGACCAAATGTAAACTGTGTCAACAAAATTATTCGCACACCCTCCGTCACTATGTGATGGAGTGCAAAAATATACGTGAATTCAAAAACACTTATATAACAAATAAAACAAATGTTCAAAAGATGTGTAAATATTTCATTCAAAATGATCTGCTACCAGAAATTTTAGCCAAATATCCCCAGTTTGCTAACTGTAGGTAGTAACTAAGTGATTGTAACCTATCCACCGCTGCCCACTGGATGGGGGGCGGTGTGCAGGACAAACATATCAATTGTGACACTAGCTCTCCACATATGTTAGTTACTTAATGTAGAAACTGTATTCGTGGTCGATCTCGAACCCAATGATTATGTGACGACTTGTACTGAATTTTGTAACTAGCTCATCAAGATTGTAACTTGCTTAGCTAAATGAATTGTGGGGTTCAGTCCCTGAGCCCATTATGTGCCTCTGTAACCCTTTCCACTACCGCCCACAAGATGGGTATGGAGTACATAATAAATTAACTAAACTAAAAACTAATAGTGTACTCTGGGTGGTGGTGACGGCCCCACAAGACCCTGGGGGCTGGTTCAGGAGGGACCACCACTCCTCCATCACTGGACATAACTAGTGGTTTGTAAATAATTTATCACATTATTCAGTTATCGATTTCATATTATACACATTGCCTCTAATTGTGATAGGGATATTTTCAGGAAAGGATGTACGTGAATAACTGAATAAACAAGTGTCCAATTTTAATACAAAGACTCTGAGTAACATATTCAGACAATAAATGACAATAACGGAGCTGAAAATTAGACACCCAACCCACATTTCTAAAAATAAAGAATTTACAACGTTTTGGTCCGTCCTGAAACATTATCAAGTCGTGATAAAGGTTCAGCCGGACACACAGAAACGTCGTCAATTCTCTATTTACAGATCGTGGGTTGATTGTCTGCGTAACATTGCTATTTATACTGAACGTGTTCTATACATCAGCCTTATCAGTTCCCCTCAGAGTGTTGTATGTTGTTATCGTGAGTTCTTTCTTCAGAGGGTGTGAGCTTCTGCTTCCTCAACATTTTCTTAAGTTTATAGGCTAAGCTTGCAGGCTTTTTTCCTCTAGTCCCGTACATAAATGTGCGTAAGTTTCTTAATAACATGAAAATTGAATTGACGAGAGCGTGTGTGTGTGTGTTTGTAACAAGTGAGGCTCTGTGACAAGTGAGGTTCTACGACAAGTGAGGCTCTATGACAAGTGAGGCTCTATGACAGTGCCGCGACACTGTTGTGTGGACGGAGGTGTCTTGAGACAACAGCGGATGTCTTGCAGTGATAACTCCACTCCCGCAGTGTACGTGTGTTTGTTTGCCTCCGCCGCCCCCCAGTACACCCAGTATACCTCTACCGCCCTCCAGTATCCCTCTACCGCCCTCCAGTACACCTACTGTCCTCCCAGCGCCGCTCGTATTCCTCCAGTACTACTTTTATCCCTCTTTGCCCCCCTGGTACTGGTAATTTCTCCAGTGACACTGGTATCCGCACGTTTACCTACAGTACTGCTGGTGACTCCTCTCTACCCTGCAGCACCACTCTTGTTTCTCCTCTGTTGTGTAGTATATTACTTCACAACCACCTGACTGTCATGGCCTCTTCCGTAAGTACCCTTCAGCGTCCTTTATACATCAGACTTGTGTGCTCTCACGTCGGCGCCGAGCCGTGACTGTGGTGTCCCGTTTTCTGCTTGGAGTCCTCTAGTAGAGGTTAGGATAACGCGCTTTGGTACCTCGGTTTCTAGACGTTGGGAAGCCTTAGGAGGACGGGGGCGCCACCAACCAGTCCCACTGGACCCTCGCCGCCAGCAGGCTTTACTCGACCCCAAACCAAATGGCACTACAACATTATTTATTGGAAACACTCGTCTGGGAACACAGCAACAAGAGGGGTTGTATCTAATCTTGGGATATAAAATATCTGAGTGACGATCTGACTGAACTCAACGATCTGAGTGCCAGATCGCTGTGAGTTCAACCCACCAGCATTGGCCAGAGTGGGGTGGGCTGTTGTTTGCTAAATATTTAATTAAGAATTGGCCCAGTATCAGGCTTTTTGTATGTGTGACGATATCAATGGAGTGAGGTGTGACCATATCGGCGCCGTCTATGGACATGCACTCCAGCTCCAAGACATTAGGTGTGACGAAGACAACACCATCTGTAAAAGGCTCCTGAGCATACCTCAGTTAGGAGTCTGGTGGAAGATGATGTCCTATGGTGAGGGAAGTAACGATATCAACGCTATCTATAGTGTGCATCCAATCATATTTTCTGTTCCCCGGTGAAAGGTTGTCGTCATATGTTCTCCTTGTGTACGTTCTGTCTGGCTAATGACTATTACGTCCACAGAGGTGAAGAGGAGGGTCTCTTGCAGTGTTGCCAGATTGGGCTACAAGTAGCGAATTGGGCTACTTTTGAGAGCCCCGCGCTCCCAAATTTTTAATATCGCTACTTGCTACTTTTTGGGCTAATTTAAAAGCAAGATGTGCTAATTTGGGCTATTAATGTTAAGAATATACGATTGCGAGTTATATGAAAGTAACTAAGCTATAAATAATTGTTATTAATAGTTAGTTTAGTTTAGTTCATTTATTATGCACCCCATACCCATCTTGTGGGCGGTAGTGGAAAGGGTTACAGAGGCACATAATGGGCTCAGGGACTGAACCCCACAATTCATTTAGCTAAGCAAGTTACAATCTTGATGAGCTAGTTACAAAATTCAATATAAGTCGTCACATCAACAATGGGTTCGAGATCGACCTCAAGTACAGGTTCTAAATTAAGCAACTGACATGTGGAGAGCTAGTGTCACAATTGATATGTTTGTCCTGCACACTGCCCCCCCCCCCCATCCAGTGGGCAGCGGTGGATAAGTTACAATCACTTAGTTACTACCTACAGTTAGCAAACTGGGAATATTTGGCTAAAATTTCTGGTAGCAGATCATTTTAAATGAAATATTTACACATCGTTGGTACATGGTTATAGAATTGTCTCTAAATTCACGTATCTTTTCGCACTCCATCACATAGTGACGGAGGGTGTGCGAATAATTTTGTTGACACAGTTTACATTTGGTCAGGTCTAAATCAGCAGATAATGAGAATTCCCAGAGATACTTGTAACCGAGTCTAAGCCGAGCAGTAGTAACATCTAGAAGTCTGCTGACGTCCAAAGGGATTGGAAAGGATGTGCTCCTCTTGCATGATAGTATGATGATAGATGGAATTACTGGTGTCAATGTTGGCCTCTGAATGCATGATAGAGCTGATAAGTTAGCCAAAGAATCTGCCTTTAAAGGAGACGTTGAGTGTAACCTTGGATTGTCAATGAGCAATCTGAGAAAGTAACTAAGCTATAAATAATTATAATTAATAATAATTGTAAATATTAATTAATACTAAATAATATTATTTAATAAATTAGTCCCAGTTCAATGCAGAGTTTTCTTCCAAGCACAGAAACTTGTAAATATAAATACAAGATAATAGATAGATCGATAAATAAATAGACAACTTTCAAGTATTGCACCAAGTAATGGCGAGAGGAAAAAAACTAGACAGTATACATTACATTTGAAATTAATAATGGATGAATGGTAATAAATTGGTGTATGTTTGTAAGTATACCAGACAAAGTCTATTTAATGGCAGAATTTAGCCATTTTGTGTAAAAACTTTTATATCTCATATTATTAATTATAACAGTAATCGAAAAAAGGCATAGTTTGTATATACAAGAGATGAAACAGAGAGCCATGAGCTAGATCGTTGTGCTGAGTCCATAAGGAGGCCGAGCTTCCAGAAATACCTTCCTGTGATTGGCTGTTGCGGGGAATACCAACACTCTTTTTATGAAAAAAATTTAAACTAAGAAATAGGTCCTTGTGCACAACAACAAGGTTGTTGTGAAAAAGAACAACAATTTCTGTTTTGCACCCGACAGAAATCTCCATCTAACTGAATAATTTACTCGAATAAGAGGGCAGAGCAGTGTATCATTATTTGTGTCAAGGCAACCCCCCAATAATAACGTCACAAGTTAGCCCATTTTTATATAACATCTGTTATATCCTGCAATATTTAATTATCACTTTATTAACACTTTAAATAATTAACACTTCACTTTTTGGGTAAATTAAAGTTAAAGCAGAATTCCATAAGCAGGACTGGTGGGCTGAACTAAGATGTTTACTAAGTGGATGGCACCTATAGCTGATCCCTTCCTGTGATTGGCTGTTGTGTGAATGTCAACAAAGAGTTTCTAGGCTGGGATTTATTTCTTATTTATTTATTTATTTATTTATTTATTTATTTATTTATTTATTTATATACAAGAAGGTACATTGGGTTTGTGAGAATACATAGCATAGTATTTACAATCTTGTAAAGCCACTAGTACGCGCAGCGTTTCGGGTAGAAACGGAAAATTTATCGAAAAGTTAGCAATAAAATACGCTTTCTAGTTCTTTATTTTTAAAATTAAGACCAGGGATTCTGTCTAACGAAGCTGCAAGCTAAAACACCGTTATCCTATAATGTTCATCTGTAGCTTGACCCTAAATACTCGTTTATTAAACGAATTTATTGTTAGAGTTCATTAAGAATCAACTTTGTTGAAGGCAGAGTTTCCAACAAATACCTTCCTGTGATTGGCTGTTGCGGGGAATGCCAACGCTTATATGAATAAAATGCAAAATAAGAAATACGTCCTTTTGCTCAATAACGTTGTTGTTGTACAAAAGAACAACAATTTCTGTTTTATACAAGACAGAAATTTCCATCTAACTGAATAATGTAGACTAATAAGAGGGCGGAGGCATTGTATCGCCGATATTATTTGCGAGACAAAACCCCCACTGATGACGTCACAAGTAAGGTAGCCAGCCCATGTTTCTGTAACACCCGTTACATCCTGCAGTATTTAATTATCAATATATTAATACTTTTAAATACTTAACATTTCACTTTTTAGGTAGATTAAAGTTGAAGCAGAATGTCATAAGCAAGGATGGTGTGCTGAATAAAGATGATTTATTAAGTGGATGGAGCCTTTAGCAGTTTAGCTGATCCCTTCCTGTGATTGGTTGTTGTGTGAATGTCAACAAAGAGTTTCTACCAATGATAGGCCATTTATTATGCACCCCATACCATCTTGTGGGCAGAGCTTGGAACCTCCTACCCGAGCACAACAACCCGCCTTATGGGTTGCTGTTTGGCTATTTATAGTGCGTTGGAAAAAAACAGATGGCGTTAGTTGTATTTTGTAGGGTAATTTGTTATAAGTGTAATTTGATGTCAACAGATGGCGTAAGCTGTATCTTATGGCCACTGTTGACCAGCCAGTTGATAGTGTTCTCTTCTGCCGACAGATGGCATCAGCTGTGTTATTATTACTTCCGAATTCCCTTTAAACACTGATCCACAAATCCCTTGGCTTATGATAAGGTTATATACCATTTATGATAAGTATTAGATAACTGGAGTTCCGCAATTACTTTTATTTGTCAACTGTTCAGGATATCATCATATAACTGGCTGTTTGTTCAGAAGTTCTGCTAGCGTATAGTTAGAGACTTCCGCCAGGGTGTTAATAGAGACCTTCTATTATTTGTGACCCCTGTCAGCGTGTTGCTGAAGACCTCTGCCAGTGTGTTTCTGAAGAGCAGATGTGGCGTATTTGGACATCGTGATGATATGGTGTAGGACTGGCCCATGTTGAGTAGGGTGAACTCGCCGCTGTTATGACCATTGGACGTGGATGATGAATATTTGGAGATAGTGGACTCGCTGGGAATTGAAGAAAACTGTAGATATATTATGTAAAGATGTTATTTAGTCTTATTTAAACCCTTTTTTATTTTCACAATTACTTGCTACTGCCAATTCTTGATAAATTACTAGTGACCAGAGGTGGGGAACAATGCAGAAGTGGCTCCAAGGCCCCATACGCAGAAAGAACCCGGTTACTGGCTCAGTCAGGCCGTAACAGTATGCTTCCAGTACCTATGCCTGTGTGAGCGTCACTCTCTGTAGCCAAGGATGTGGTGCGTGTGGAGTCAGCCCTGGGGATGGGTCTGGATTAGCTGTGTCATGAGTTTATTGAAGAACACGTCCAGGGTCTTTTCCCATTGCATTTTCAGTGCCAGCAAGAAGTGTTTGAATGAGGTCTATATTGAGTTGTGAGTTTCGTGGGGGTGATGAGGTGGACATGGGGTATTTGTGAATTGTGTTGTTGGGTGGTTGTTATTGATTAGGGACTGTGTTGCGTTGTTTCAGTACGCTGCAGTATTGCATGTTGGTGATGGAGTGAGTCATGGTAGTAGTCTTAGCTGCTATGTATGAAGGGACATGCACTTTATATTTGTGAAATTTTTTATCTTGTGTCATGGCTGGAGAAATTGCTGACCTGGAGAGCGTGCAGAGATCCTTTACTGCTAGAATCCACTCAGTAAAACATCTAAACTATTGGGACCGACTAAAGAACCTAAATCTGTATTCTCTTGAACTGAGGCGGGAGAGATACATAATAATTTACACGTGGAAAATAATTGAGGGGCTGGTCCCAAACCTGCACACAGAAATAACATCACATTAGACCAGAAGGCATGGCAGGATGTGCAGAATACCCCTATTGAAGAGCAGAGGTGCAACAGGTACTCTGAGAGAGAACTATCAACATCAGAGGCCCGAGACTGTTCAACACGCTTCCACTACACATCAGGAGCATAACTACCAACCCCCAACCCCCCACATCACAGTGTTCAAGAGAGAACTTGATAAAACCTCAAAAGGATACCTAATCAACCAGGCTGTGGCTCATTCGTCAAGCTGCGAGCAGCCGCGTCCAACAGCCAGGTTGACCAGTACAGCAACCAGGTCTGGTCGCCGACCGGGCCGTGGGGTCGCTAAGCCCCCAAAAACCTCAAGGTAACCTCAAGGTATGGTCACCAGCACATTTTGAGCATTTAAGTATTTCTGAAGTGTATGTATTTGTGAAATGGGCACCAGAGCAAAGTGCACATTAGTAGCACATCCTTGTGAGGTATGATTAAATTCTCTACATCTAAACCATTGAGTTGGACATGGTATGTACACCTCTGGTTTGTGGGAGCAGCCACTTATTCAAACCTGATCAGGTGGAAGGTTGTCTAGGAAGGTAAGTAAGGCTGATCCTGTGTCACTCGGCACTAAGTCAATTCTGCACTCCTAGTCAAAGTGGCAATGTTGTCAAATGTAACGATGGAAGTTTTCAAACCAAGAAAATATGACCTACCTTGGCTGAGCGGATGTTTGTCATCAGACCACGTATGGTCACAGGGGGATGACCATTGTTTACAGCAGGGTAGTGGCGGCATTCAGCCCCTCGTCTGTCTGTCTTACTACGTCTACTGTCCAGAAAGACGCCTTCCTTATCCTGCTCAGAGTGCGGGAAAACCATCATTATGAGAATGTATTCACCTAGTTGTTCTTGCTGGGGGTTGAGCTCTGCTGTTTCGGCCCGCCTCTCAACTGTCAATCAATCAACTGTAACTAACTACTAGTGCCAGGTGCCGGTGGGTCTCCGGGTTCATCAATAGTATCATGGTTTTGACCTCAGGTTTCCTGGCAAAACCAATTAGGAATCCAGGGTGGTAACACAGCACTACCTTGCAGCAGGTTGATGAAGAACGGGACACTGGAGTCAGAGGCCATCATTCACACAGTGTCACAACATGTCGGAGCGACAGTAAAACAAAGTAAACCAAATCCTGGGAATAGTCAAACGAGCCTTATGACTTCTAGGGAACACAAGGTGATCTCTTTGGTGCAAAATACGGTAGTTATTCAACTGTATAAATCGCTGATATCTAGATTATTGTATCCAGACATGGAGACATCTTCAGAAAGACATTTGCTTTGGAGAAAGTTCAATACCGAGCGTCAAAAATCATTCTAGAACTAAGTCGACTTTCATACCAGGAACGGTTGAGGGCCAACTGCTAACACTACAAACCAGACATGACAAGGCTCATCTCATAAAACTTTTAAAATACTAAAGAAATTGGAAGATGTTGATGTAGACTACTTCCTCTAAAGGTCAGATGTAACACAAACAAGGAGCAACGGTTTCAAGCTCAACAAGCAACAATGTAGGACTGAGAACAGGAGATGCTTTTTCACCCTCAGTTATAAACCCATAGAACAGCCTACCCGCCGAAACCATAAATGCCAAAACAGCTAAATTTCAAAATCCAGCTAGAAAAAATCATTATGACCATAGAGGGGGACTATTGACAAGCCGCTGGCATCATGTCCTCGTCGAGGATATTAGATAATGGCGTTCAGGTAAATTCAGGTATGTCCAGTTTGCAGGAAGACGGGGTGTAAGGAATGGCGCCCTTCCCAAGACATGTTATAATTTGCACTTTGTTTCACTATTGATTTTGAATCCTAATTTGTGTTTGTCATTACAGAATGATGGAGTAATGTGTCGGCTGTGACGACAGCGTGAACGTCTCGCCATCTGTTAAACCACCTGTCACATTAAGCCATCTGTCTCCATGCTTGAGCCTCAGCTCCCTGTCACCATGACAGGTTTTCAGCCAACTGTCACCACAACTAATTCTCAACCACCTGTCACCCCAGCTGGGTCTCAGCCACCTGTCACCACAGCTGGGTCTCAGCCACCTGTCACCCCAGCTGGGTCTCAGCCACCTGTCACCCCAGCTGGGTCTCAGCCACCTGTCACCCCAGCTGGTTCTCAGCCACCTGTCACCCCAGCCGGTTCAAAGGTAGGCGTGATGCTTCAACTTTCTGTAGCTTTCAAGCACCAAGACCGGTGCTTGTTCCGTCTTCAGAAGATGGTCCGTCGGACGGCCCGCGACGTGCTGCACCAGGTGTACGAGTGGGGCACCCAGGGCCTCACCATCACTCTCCCCTTGCACCAGTACCTTCAAAAAAATGGAAATTTTCAGAGAAGAAAAATCTCTCAGATCTTCAACAAGGCGCAGATGGACACCCTGGCGGCTGATCCCACCGGGGCCACCTACGACATCTCGCTCATGTATAAATGTATCCAGACGGTGTGTGAGGGCATGTGTCCTGTTAACGACCCAATCTGGTGGACTCCAGGACACACCCTCGAGTTCAGTATAACCTCCATTAAAAATTTTCGCAATATTGTTATGCACAGGGAGATATCACCGACTCAAACAGAGTTTATCAACATGACGGAGGAGCTGCGGGAGCTGTTGAAAGGCGTTCTGGAAGCAGCTGGGACAAAGTACAACATTGATGGCGATATCGTAGCTCAGTGTATCCGTATGATGGACCACAGCATCAGCATATTGAGGGACGATCCTTTTCAACACTGGAACATCACAAGTGTTGAGAACGAGCTCTTGTTTAAGGAAGGTTTAGAGCTTTTGATGTCAGTTGGTATACAAGAGTTGAAGGAGAACTATACCAAATGGTCCTACATCAACCCAATGTCATTCCTGGATGGAACTGAACTGCATCTCCAAGTAGGTGCTATTTTCACTCAAATGGAAATAGTTCTTAATAGACGGTGTCTTAAAAGTCAACAGATCAGTAACAAAGATTTACTGCAGTTTGTGGGTGATGGTACGACCAGTAACATCACTCTGGTGGAAGGTGTCGCAGGGGCAGGTAAAACTACCCTTACTAAAATTATCATGTCTAACTGGATCACTGGCAGCAGTTTTATAGACGATCTTACAAGTTTCGACTTGGTAATATATATGGAATGTAGAAATCCAGTTATTCAATCTCTGTCGCAATTGTTGTCAACTTTAATGCCAAAAACGTCTCGGAGATTCCGAGAGAACGATTTATTGAAGAGTGTCTTGCAGTATAAAGTACTTGTTGTTGTTGATGGTCTTGATGAATTAAACGTCTCCTCCACGAAGCTCCTCAAGGAGGTACTGAACATAAAGTTATCATATGATATTGCTGTATTCTGCACCACAAGGCCAGAGAAAGTAAAGGATTTCTTCAAAATGCTTCCTCCTGTTCTCAAAATATCCTACCTAAAAATTATTGGCATACCAGACAGCATGAGGGAGATGTTTGTCGAAATATATCATAAGGAAATGAAGAAAATGAGCATGAGTACTCAGGAGACTGATGGACTCATCAAGTATCTGAGAAAGACTCAAAATCAGCTGCAAGAACATCTCCGACTTCCTCTGAACCTTGTACTGCTGACCTTCTTGTGGGCCGTCGGGGGAGACAAAGTAAACATGGTGACAACAGCCACAGAACTGTACTGGGAAATTCATGAACTAATGATTGAAAAGCTGCTGGAGCGGTTAAAGTCGCAACACTTGACTGAACTCTTGGACACCTCGGAACTCAGGAGTAAGATTCATGAATTTTTGTCTTCGTTATACCATGAGTCGTTATTAAGCATTAAGAATGAGAACATTGTCCTGGCAGACGAGTCAACAAAGAAACTTGAGGACATTTGCTCTAACACTGGTTTGCCACCCAAAGAAGTTATGGGCGCTTACTTGGCTCAGAAAACCTTGTGGACTGTGTCAGGAATTCAGATGAGACATATTATACCTCACAAGGGCCTCCAGGACTTTTATAGTGCCATGTACTTACTTCAGAGTTGCACCAAAAAACTTGAGGTTTCAAGTATTGCTGAAAAAATAATTCAAACAGTCATTGCCCCGTTCAGAACTAACACCATCACCAAAATTCTGGAAAAAATGCACGAAATGAACTCGAGTCCTCTGCCCCTTGAGAAGTACCAGAATGTTTTGATTCATCTAACTGGACTCTTTCACAAAAGAGAAAATATGACCATGAATATAAGCAAAGAGTTAGTTAAACTGCTGAGGGAGTCTGGCATAAGAGACAGGGACGAGTGGCTGGACTTGCTAGCCAGCGTCAAGTGTAACACCAAGATGGTCAACCTTCTGGTGAAGCAGATCCCAGAGTTCCTCATAGTGAACGGCAGGGTGGATGTTGAGGACTCCAGAGTGGACTGTTACGCCAACCTTCTCCCTCTCCTAACCCCCAAGGAAGTGGTGGTGAAGATCAGGAGGAAACCCCAAGACATTCCCCGTCTGGAGGAGCTGCTGGTGCAGATGAGCCTGCTAGTGGAGACGTGTCAGTACCAGGTGGAGCTGCACCTCGAGCACCTCTTCCGTCACCCCGCTTGTCTCGACCTCTCCCTCGACACTGTTCTCCAGCGAGTCCTACAAAGGTACAGTGCCTGCCTTTGTAGTATTAGTAATAGGCTCAAGACTATACTTGGCTAACTTCTCATCTTCATCACTTAAGGGTTTATGCATGACTGGATGTCGCTTAAAATCTTTAAATCAGATTATTGTTTCTTAAAAATTGTAATTATATAATCTTAATTGCTATGAAATAATTCTGGGGGCCTTGGATATATTTGTTCTCTCTGACTGTTAGTGTGGTGGTGTTCACTGTTGGTGACTGTTAGTGTGGTGGTGTTCACTGTTGGTGACTGTTAGTGTGGTGGTGTTCACTGTTGGTGACTGTTAGTGTGGTGGTGTTCACTGTTGGTGACTGTTAGTGTGGTGGTGTTCACTGTTGGTGACTGTTAGTGTGGTGGTGTTCACTGTTGGTGACTGTGAGTGTAGTGATGTTCACTGTTGGTGACTGTTAGTGTGGTGATGTTCACTGTTGGTGACTGTGAGTGTAGTGATGTTCACTGTTGGTGACTGTTAGTGTGGTGATGTTCACTGTTGGTGACCGTGAGTGTAGTGATGTTCACTGTTGGTGACTGTTAGTGTGGTGATGTTCACTGTTGGTGACTGTGAGTGTGGTGATGTTCACTGTTGGTGACTGTTAGTGTGGTGATGTTCACTGTTGGTGACTGTTAGTGTGGTGATGTTCACTGTTGGTGACTGTTAGTGTGGTGATGTTCACTGTTGGTGACCGTGAGTATGGTGATCATTTTCCCCATCATCTCTTTCCCCTCCCTCTTCCCCTGCCTATGAACGTCGAGTACCCGAGACCAGTCCGCCTGCAAAGTTGGGTAAGGTTAGCCCTTAACTACCCGTGCTTTACAAGGGTAGTTACGGTAGCATGTTGGAGGAAATAAGTAGTGATGGGATAGTGTGGTCGTAAGGTTTAAGGTCACCTAATTGTGCTTGCGGGGGTTGAGCTCTGGCTCTTTGGTCCCGCCTCTCAACCGTCAATCAAGAGGTGTACAGGTTCCTGAGCCTATTGGGCTCTATCATATCTACACTTGTCTGTGTCATGTGTGTGTGTGTGCCGGCAGGTGCAGCGTGAGGGAGTACCGCGGGGGCGTGAGCCAGAGGGTGTGTGAAGCCCTGCCCCCGACCCTGCAGGAGGTGGGCGTGGCCCTCGCCACCACCGACCACGCCCACCTCCTCCACCGCGCCTTCAACACCTCCACCCTCTCTCGCCGCTTCCCTCTTCTCAACAAACTCTGTGAGTTATTATATATATAAACGCATTTGTATATCAGCACACCCACACGCCCATACACACACACACACACACACACACACACACACACACACACACACACACACACACACACACACACACACACACACACACACACACACACACACACACACACACACACACACACACACACACACACACACACACACACACACACACACACACACACACACACACACACACACACACACACACACACACACACACACACACACACACACACACACACACACACACACACACACACACACACACACACACACACACACACACACCCACACGCCCACACACACACACACACACACACACACACACACACACACACACACACACACACACACACACACACACACACACTTGTCTTGTGACCATCGTGTTGGGTGGACGTGGGTTGGGAGCTCCTGGATCACTCGTGGAGTGGGAGGGGTAATCAGGCAACTTCGAAGTGAAAAAGACTATAAGTGAATGTACAAGTGAATGAAAAAACCTTGGGTTTTGACCAGAGCCATAAGGTAGTGAAGAAAAACAGTTTAATTAGCGTAATTCAAAATAGTTGAGGAAATACTGTGCAGTGTGAAACCAGACCTCACCGACCTCTGACCGCGTGACCTCACCTCGGCAGCAACCCTTATACCACCACGTGGGACGACGATTGGAGATTCACTCACCTATTGTGTTAGCAGATTGTGCAAGGTATTGAGGAGCGCCTTTTTGGCTAGGTTGTTACTGCAATGACTAGAAGGGGTTCAAGGTCAATCACCAGCAGGGATGAGGAGGAGGACAGATTTATAGACAAATTAATAGGGAAATTTGTAGAGAGAAGGAGTGATTGGTTGGAGGATCTAATCCAGGGGATTAAAAGTGAGGTATTTCAGCAAATACAGGATGCGGTAGAGAGGCAGAAACAAGAACTTATGCTCTATGTTCAGGAAGAGATTAGGAAGGGAAGAGAGGACTGGGAGAGGGAATGTGCTCGTATCACAAACGAATTAGGAAGGTTTAGCAGCATGGCTAAGGATAGAGTGGGATTAGTGGGAGATGGGTTAGTGACTGCGGTTGGGATGGGGAATCCCCAGGGGACAGGCTACCAGCATGACAATGAATTCCTGAGGAGACGGTCTATTATAATACATGGATTATTCGAATCTAGGGCACCAACAAGACAAGAGAGAATAGAAACAGAAAAATACGAATTGCACGAGATATTGAGGTGTATTGGAGCAGAGATGGCAGAACGCGAGGTGGATATCAATCGACGGGTTGGACCTTACAATTGTACCAAGAAGAGACCTGTTCTGGTGCAATTCTCCAATGAGGAGGCAGTGGAGTACATAATGAGGAGCAAGCATTTACTCAGAGGAAGTGAAACCCATTACAATGTGTTTATAGAGAGGTTTATGACGAAGGATGAGCAAACAGCCCACAAAAATAGATGGCAACAACGACAACGTACTAGCCTCCCAGGTAATCTCACCTCCCAGGTCACATCCCAGGTCACCTCCCAGGTCACCTCCCAGGTCACCTCCCAGGTCACCTCCCAGGTCGCATCCTCCCCAACTCAGCCCTCCTATTCATCCCCCCTGCCTCAGCCTCCCAAAACCCCCCTGTCCCTTCCACATTTGCACGTCCACAACGATTCCCCTGCCCCTGCTACATCACACTTGTCAGCGACCCCAGTGGGTCAAGCCATGCCCTCCCCAAACCCACCTTCCCATCCCCCCTCCCCAAATACCCCTTCCCACTCCCCTGCCCCTTCTACCCCATTGACTTCAATTCCATCTACTCCATCCCAGCTTCCACTGCACCCCTCTTCCACTCACCCCCAAACCCCACCCAACCCTCACCCCTCCTATGCACCTCCAGCCCACATTTAACCCCCTCACCTTGTGACCCCCTAACACCTTCCCCCATCTCCCTCTTCCCCTCTTCTACCCCAAAACCCCCACCTACCCCCGATTCCCCCCTATATAATATACCCTCTCTTCCACTCCCAGCACCCATGCTCCATTCTCATCTCACCTCAGTATCCCTCTTCCCCCCAACCTCTCAACCTCTATCTGACTCTCAGTCTCACTCTATTTCTCAACCCCCCTATGCTATTCAGACCCCTAACTTTCAGACCCATTATGCCCTTCCTACCCCCCTAGATGCCCAGACCCCATTTGCCTACCAGGCACTCCCAGGCACCCCCCTAGCACCCCCCCACTCGCCCCCACAGCCCCCACTTGCCCCCCAGACACCCCCCAGTTCCCCCCAGACCCCTGGTGAAAGGGGGAACTCTGACACCCGAGTTTCCAAGAAGAGTCTCAAGGTTTGGTACACCAATGCTGATGGGGTAGCCAATAAAGCAGAAGAGATAAAAGAAAGAGTTAGTGAGGCAGACCCAGACATAGTGGCAATAGTGGAAACTAAAATAAATGGCATGATCTCGGATGCAATCTTTCCAGAGGGGTACCAGGTGATAAGAAAAGAAAGGACACAGAGACAGGGAGGTGGAGTGGCACTACTAATAAAGCAGAAATGGAAGTTTGATGAGCTGGAAAATCCGGGTACCAATGAAAGCACAAGCTTCATACATGGAACCCTGACAGTGGATGGGAAGAAGATTGTAATCTTGATACTCTACAATCCCCCACCAAACAGTAGAAGGCCCAGGCAGGAGTACGAGGACAGCAACAAGACATGTATGGTTGAACTACAGAGGGCAGCAACTTTAGCGCATAGAATGAGAGCGAAGCTGCTGGTCATGGGGGACCTAAATCACGGAGAGATAGATTGGGAAACGAGGAATCCCCATGGCGGGGAGGAGACCTGGGGAGCGAAGCTGGTAGACGTTATTGACAGGAATTTCCTAACACAGCATGTGAAAGAAGATACTAGGGAAAGAGGAGGGGATACGCCCAGCCTATTAGATCTCATTATCACTCAGAATGTAGAAGACATCGAGCAGTTGGAACATGAAATACCACTAGGAGCTAGTGACCATTGTGTCCTAGCCTTTGACTACATGATGGAGCTTAAAATTGTGACCAAAGGACAAGAGGTCCGGGAAAGGAGACTTGATTACAGAAAAGGGGACTACAGAGGGATAAGGGACTACCTGGGAGAAGTGCAGTGGGAGGAAGAACTTAGAGGAAAAACAGTGCAAGGTATGATGACCCAAGTCATATTGAAATGCAAGGAGGCTGAAGATAGATTTATTCCAACAATAAAGAAAAAAAGCAGGAGGGAATATAATAACCCATGGTTTAATAGACAGTGTCAGGAAGCAAAGGTGAGAAGCAGGAGGGAGTGGAGGAAGTACAGAAGACAAAGGACAGAGGACAACAGGATTAGATGTAACAGAGCTAGGAATGATTACATTAACATAAGACGAGTGTCGGAAAGAAATTATGAGAACGATATTGCAGTCAAAGCGAAAAAGCAACCAAAATTACTACATAGCCATATAAGAAGGAAGATGTCGGTAAATGACCAAGTGACAAGACTGAGGAAAACAGAAGGGGCATATACAGAAAGCGACAAGGAAATCTGCGAGGTACTGAATGCAAAATTCCATGGAGTGTTCACTACCGAGCCTGAGCAGCTCCCATTGTTAGAAGAGATTACCCAAGATGAAAGACTATCAGATATAGAGGTGACAGCAGAGGATGTAATGAAACAGTTGACAACACTGGATGCAAATAAAGCTGTTGGACCAGACAAAGTATCACCGTGGATACTTAAAGAGGCAGCGCAGGCTCTCAGCGTGCCTCTGGCAATGATCTTCAATGAGTCACTTATGTCGGGAGAATTGCCCAGTTGCTGGAAGGAGGCAAATGTCGTACCGATTTTCAAAAAGGGGGATAGGGAGGAGGCACTTAACTACAGACCCGTATCACTGACAAGCATCCCCTGCAAAATACTTGAAAGAATAATTAGGCTAAGACTTGTTGAGCACCTGGAGAGCATTGGGTTTGTAAACAAGCACCAACATGGGTTCTGGACAGGGAAATCATGCCTAACAAACCTTTTAGAATTCTATGATAAAGTAACAAGGATAAGGCAGGACAGAGAAGGCTGGGCAGACTGCATATTTCTTGACTGCCAAAAGGCCTTTGATACGGTACCGCACATGAGACTGCTATACAAACTTGAGAGGCAGGCAGGAGTAAGCGGAAAGGCCCTAGTATGGGTGAAGAACTACCTAACAGGAAGGAGCCAGAGGGTAATGGTAAGGGGCGAAAAGTCGGTCTGGCGGACAGTAACAAGTGGAGTACCTCAAGGATCGGTGCTGGGACCAATCCTCTTTCTAATTTACGTAAATGATATGTTTACAGGAGTGGAATCATACATGTCAATGTTTGCAGATGACGCAAAATTAATGAGAAGAGTTGTGACAGACGAGGATTGTAGGATCCTCCAAGAGGACTTACACAGGCTGCAGAGATGGTCAGAGAAATGGCTACTGGAGTTTAACACCAGTAAATGTAAAGTTATGGAAATGGGATCAGGTGACAGGAGACCAAAGGGACAGTACACAATGAAGGGGAACAGCCTACCTGTAACGATTCGAGAAAGAGACCTGGGAGTGGATGTGACACCCAATCTAACTCCTGAGGCACATATAAATAGGATAACGACAGCAGCGTACTCTACACTGGCGAAAATTAGAACTTCATTCAGAAACCTAAATGAGGAAGCTTTTAGGGCGCTTTACACTGCCTACGTGAGACCCGTCTTAGAGTATGCCGCGCCATCATGGAGCCCCCACCTGAAGAAACACATAAAGAAACTGGAGAAGGTTCAGAGGTTTGCGACGAGGCTTGTCCCAGAGCTACGAGGGATGGGATATGAAGAGCGGCTGAAGGAACTGAACCTTACGACACTAGAGAAAAGAAGGGAGAGAGGAGATATGATAGGGACATATAAAATACTCAGGGGAATTGACAAAGTGGAAATAGATCAAATGTTCACACGTAATAATAACAGAACGAGGGGACATGGGTGGAAACTGGAAACTCAGATGAGTCACAGAGATGTTAGGAAGTTTTCTTTTAGCGTGAGAGTAGTAGAAAAATGGAATGCACTTGGGGAACAGGTTGTGGAAGCAAATACTATTCATACTTTTAAAACTAGGTATGATAGGGAAATGGGACAGGAGTCATTGCTGTAAACAACCGATAGCTAGAGAGGCGGGATCCAAGAGTCAATGCTCGATCCTGCAAGCACATATAGGTGAGTACATATAGGTGAGTACACACACACACACACACACACACACAGCCAGAGTCCAGAGCTCAACCCCCGCAAACACAACTAGGTGAGTACACACACACACACACACACACACACACACACACACACACACACACACACACACACACACACACACACACACACACACACACACACACACACATTGTGCGTGCGTGTGTGTGTGTTGCACTCGCGGACACAGGTGGAAATTGAGTGTCCAACAGAGCCATAGAGATATTATTTGTTTCAGTGTCGGAATTCTTGACAATTTGGAATATATATATATATGTATATATATATATATATATCTATATATATATATATATATATATATATATATATATATATATATATATATATATATATATATATATATATATATATATATATGTCGTACCTAGTAGCCAGAACTCACTTTTTGGCCTACTATTCAAGGCCTGATTTGCCTAATAAGCCAAGTTTTCCTGAATTATTATATTTTTTCTAATTTTTTTCTTATGAAATGATAAAGCTACCCATTTCATTATGTATGAGGTCATTTTTTTTATTGGAGTTAAAATTAACGTAGATATATGACCGAACCTAACCAACCCTACCTAACCTAACCTAACCTATCTTTATAGGTTAGGTTTGGTTAGGTAGCCGAAAAAGTTAGGTTAGGTTAGGTTAGGTAGTCGAAAAACAATTAATTCATGAAAACTTGGCTTATTAGGCAAATCGGGCCTTGCATAGTAGGCTGAGAAGTGCGTTCTGGCTATTAGGTACGACATATATATATATATATATTAAATTGTGTGTGTGTGTAAATTAGTGCATAGTTAAGATAAAGTAGGGCAGTGGAGCATCCACTATTGTTGTGTGGGTCAGTGCGTGTGCCCTTGTCTGCCGGACACAGCGTCCGCTCTCATAAGCTTATCCCCCAAACTCTTCCCTTCCCCCGTCCCATCACATATCCTTATCCTGTCCCCTTGCAAGTGCTAAATGGTTGAAATTGAAATAAGTCACACAGCCCCGCTCCTGTGCCAGCTAAGTCCACTACGGGGCTCACGATAGCCTATGCTACTTGCAACTTCTTGTTCCCAGTAGCTGAATCTAACACAACTTGAAATAAGTGTTATATATATATAGTCAGGGCTTGGCGCTTTCCCCCTGATAATTCCCTCTGCCTCCCTCCCAAACTGTTTTGATTACCGATCCTCATTTGTTTCTCTAGTGCCTTAATTGTAAACAAAGTACCCGTCCTCTGTGTCGTGCCCTGTACATCACGGGCGCCAATATCCTCCCGCTATAATGTCTCGCTCGTCACGTTGATCAGCACGTGCTGGTGGTGACCAGGACGTGCTGGTGGTGACCAGCACGTGCTTGTGGTGACCAGCACGTGCTTGTGGTGACCAGCACGTGCTTGTGGTGACCAGCACGTGCTTGTGGTGACCAGCACGTGCTGGTGGTGACCAGCACGTGCTTGTGGTGACCAGCACGTGCTTGTGGTGACCAGCACGTGCTTGTGGTGACCAGTACGTGCTTGTGGTGACCAGCACGTGCTTGTGGTGACCAGCACGTGCTTGTGGTGACCAGCACGTGCTGGTGGTGACCAGCACGTGCTTGTGGTGACCAGCACGTGCTTGTGGTGACCAGCACGTGCTTGTGGTGACCAGCACGTGCCTGTGGTGACCAGCACGTGCCTGTGGTGACCAGCACGTGCTTGTGGTGACCAGCACGTGCTTGTGGTGACCAGCACGTGCTTGTGGTGACCAGCACGTGCCTGTGGTGACCAGCACGTGCCTGTGGTGACCAGCACGTGCTGGTGGTGACCAGCACGTGCTTGTGGTGACCAGCACGTGCTTGTGGTGACCAGCACGTGCTTGTGGTGACCAGCACGTGCTTGTGGTGATTGGGACTCACACAGATGTGCCGCTACAGGTGTGGTAGTGACGTGGTTGTGTTGGTATTGCAGGTGTGGTAGTGAGGTGGTGGTGTTGCAGGTGTGGTAGTAACATGGTTGTTGTTGTGTTACAGGTGTGCAGGTGGGGCAGCAGGTGGAGGCGACAGTGTTGGTGCCCCTGCCACCACTGAGGTACCTGGAGGTGCACGTCAGCCACGTCACCGTGGACCACGTCTCCTGGCTGGTCCAGGTGGTCCGAGGCCTCCAGCCCACGTCCCGGTACGGTCCACTTGTTGTTCAAGTCCTTCATGCCTTGGGGACCAGACCTTAGGTCTATCACCACCTTGGTCCACACCCAGGACACCCACGGTCCACACACCCAGGACACCCACGGTCCACACACCCAGGACACCCACGGTCCACACACCCAGGACACCCACGGTCCACACACCCAGGACACCCACGGTCCACACACCCAGGACACCCACGGTCCACACACCCAGGACACCCACGGTCCACACACCTAGGACACCCACGGTCCACACCCAGGACACCCACGGTCCACACACCCAGGACACCCACGGTCCACTCACCTAGGACACCCACGGTCCACACACCCAGGACACCCACGGTCCACACACCCAGGACACCCACGGTCCACACACCCAGGACACCCACGGTCCACACACCTAGGACACCCACGGTCCACACACCCAGGACACCCACGGTCCACACACCCAGGACACCCACGGTCCACACACCCAGGACACCCACGGTCCACACACCCAGGACACCCACGGTCCACACACCCAGGACACCCACGGTCCACACACCCAGGACACCCACGGTCCACACACCCAGAACACCCACGGTCCACACACCCAGGACACCCACGGTCCACACACCCAGGACACCCACGGTCCACACACCCAGGACACCCACGGTCCACACACCCAGGACACCCACGGTCCACACACCCAGGACACCCACGGTCCACACACCCAGGACACCCACGGTCCACACACCCAGGACACCCACGGTCCACACACCCAGGACACCCACGGTCCACACCCAAGACACCCACGGTCCACACACCCAGGACACCCACGGTCCACACACCTAGGACACCCACGGTCCACACACCCAGGACACCCACGGTCCACACACCCAGGACACCCACGGTCCACACACCCAGGACACCCACGGTCCACACACCCAGGACACCCACGGTCCACACACCCAGGACACCCACGGTCCACACACCCAGGACACCCACGGTCCACACACCCACGGTCCACACACCCAGGACACCCACGGTCCACACACCCAGGACACCCACGGTCCACACACCCAGGACACCCACGGTCCACACACCCAGGACACCCACGGTCCACACACCCAGGACACCCACGGTCCACACACCCAGGACACCCACGGTCCACACACCCAGGACACCCACGGTCCACACACCCAGGACACCCACGGTCCACCACACACCCACGGACCCAGGACACCCACGGTCCACACACCCAGGACACCCACGGTCCACACACCCAGGACACCCACGGTCCACACACCCAGGACACCCACGGTCCACACACCCAGGACACCCACGGTCCACACACCCAGGACACCCACGGTCCACACACCCAGGACACCCACGGTCCACACACCCAGGACACCCACGGTCCACACACCCAGGACACCCACGGTCCACACACCCAGGACACCCACGGTCCACACACCCAGGACACCCACGGTCCACACCCAGGACACCCACGGTCCACACACCCACACCCAGGACACCCACGGTCACACCCAGGACACCCACGGTCCACACCCAGGACACCCACGGTCCACACCCAGGACACCCACGGTCCACACACCCAGGACACCCACGGTCCACACCCAGGACACCCACGGTCACACCCAGGACACCCACGGTCCCACACCCAGGACACCCACACCCAGGACACCCACGGTCCCACCCAGGACACCCACGGTCCACACACCCAGGACACCCACGGTCCACACACCCAGGACACCAGCGGTCCACACACCCAGGACACCCACGGTCCACACACCCAGGACACCCACGGTCCACACCCAGGACACCCACGGTCCACACCCAGGACACCCACGTCCACACACCCACACACCCAGGACACCCACGGTCCACACCCAGGACACCCACGACACCCCACACCCAGGACACCCACGGTCCACACACCCAGGACACCCACGGTCCACACCCAGGACACCCACGGTCCACACACCCAGGACACCCGCGGTCCACACACCCAGGACACCAGCGGTCCACACACCCAGGACACCAGCGGTCCACACCCAGGACACCCACGGTCCACACCCAGGACACCCACGGTCCACACCCAGGACACACCCACGGTCCACACCCAGGACACCCACGGTCCACACACCCAGGACACCCACGGTCCACACCCAGGACACCCACGGTCCACACCCAGGACACCCACGGTCCACACCCAGGACACCCACGGTCCACACACCCAGGACACCCATGGTCCACACCCAGGACACCCACGGTCCACACCCAGGACACCCACGGTCCACACCCAGGACACCCACGGTCCACACACCCAGGACACCCATGGTCCACACCCAGGACACCCACGGTCCACACCCAGGACACCCACGGTCCACACCCAGGACACCCACGGTCCACACCCAGGACACCCACGGTCCACACACCCAGGACACCCACGGTCCACACCCAGGACACCCACGGTCCACACCCAGGACACCCACGGTCCACACCCAGGACACCCACGGTCCACACACCCAGGACACCCACGGTCCACACACCCAGGACACCCACGGTCCACACACCCAGGACACCCACGGTCCACACCCAGGACACCCGCGGTCCACACACCCAGGACACCCGCGGTCCACACACCCAGGACACCAGCGGTCCACACACCCAGGACACCAGCGGTCCACACCCAGGACACCCACGGTCCACACCCAGGACACCCACGGTCCACACCCAGGACACCCACGGTCCACACCCAGGACACCCACGGTCCACACACCCAGGACACCCACGGTCCACACCCAGGACACCCACGGTCCACACCCAGGACACCCACGGTCCACACCCAGGACACCCACGGTCCACACACCCAGGACACCCATGGTCCACACCCAGGACACCCACGGTCCACACCCAGGACACCCACGGTCCACACCCAGGACACCCACGGTCCACACCCAGGACACCCACGGTCCACACACCCAGGACACCCACGGTCCACACCCAGGACACCCACGGTCCACACCCAGGACACCCACGGTCCACACCCAGGACACCCACGGTCCACACACCCAGGACACCCACGGTCCACACACCCAGGACACCCACGGTCCACACCCAGGACACCCACGGTCCACACCCTGAACACCCAGTAGACGTTTTGCTCCATGATGATTATCTTCCTCATTACAAGTCCATAAAGTCACACTGCCATTAATATACAGCTAATTCCCCTGCAAACACAAACCGAAACTGTCTCTATTTTCCGCTTGTTACAACTTGTAATAAAGTTGTTACATCTTGGCTTAACGTGTTTATGACGTATTAGAACGTTGTTACAACTTGCTATATTGGTTGTTATAACTGGTTAGGAGGTGTTAAAACTTGTTCGAACGTTGTACCAACGTCGTAGTTTCGGTGTGTGTTTAGCGGGTCCCTTGATTATACCTTTTCCATTATATTTCTAGCTATTTTTAACATTAATTTGTGTGAGGTATAGAATATGTTATGTAGCAGTGTTGTCACTTGCCACACAATGTCTCTTTAAAGTATATTAGTAGTAGCAAGTTCACTCCCAACATGCTGAAGACAATCACACCTGGACAACCAATTAAGTCACAAAGGTAACATTTATGACCAACATCACCTTAGTGAGCAGACCGTTACCCTGGGGCACACCGCTTGACCATGTTCAGCGGGTTTTCTTCCTATTGGGGAGTGTTGTACATGTTGCTATGGCGGTGTGTCCACTCACAGGATGAGTAGCGCTGCCCAATACTGTCACTATGGCGGTGTGTCCACTCACAGGATGAGTGCCGCTACCCAATACTGTCACTATGGCGGTGTGACCACTCACAGCATGAGTGGCGCTGCCCAATACTGTCACTATGGCGGTGTGTCCACTCACAGGATGAGTGGCGCTGCCCAATACTGTCACTATGGCGGTGTGTCCACTCACAGGATGAGTGGCGCTGCCCAATACTGTCACTATGGCGGTGTGTCCACTCACAGGATGAGTAGCGCTGCCCAATACTGTCACTATGGCGGTGTGTCCACTCACAGGATGAGTGGCGCTGCCCAATACTGTCACTATGGCGGTGTGTCCACTCACAGGATGAGTGGCGCTGCCCAATACTGTCACTATGGCGGTGTGTCCACTCACAGGATGAGTGACGCTGCCCAATACTGTCACTATGGCGGTGTGTCCACTCACAGGATGAGTGCCGCTACCCAATACTGTCACTATGGCGGTGTGTCCACTCACAGGATGAGTGGCGCTGCCCAATACTGTCACTATGGTGGTGTGTTCACTCACAGCATGAGTGGCGCTGCCCAATACTGTCACTATGGCGGTGTGTCCACTCACAGGATGAGTAGCGCTGCCCAATACTGTCACTATGGCGGTGTGTCCACTCACAGGATGAGTGCCGCTACCCAATACTGTCACTATGGCGGTGTGTCCACTCACAGGATGAGTGGCGCTGCCCAATACTGTCACTATGGTGGTGTGTTCACTCACAGCATGAGTGGCGCTGCCCAATACTGTCACTATGGCGGTGTGTCCACTCACAGGATGAGTGGCGCTGCCCAATACTGTCACTATGGCGGTGTGTCCACTCACAGGATGAGTAGCGCTGCCCAATACTGTCACTATGGTGGTGTGTCCACTCACAGGATGAGTGGCGCTGCCCAATACTGTCACTATGGCGGTGTGTCCACTCACAGGATGAGTGGTGCTGCCCAATACTGTCACTATGGCGGTGTGTCCACTCACAGGATGAGTGGTACTGCCCAATACTGTCACTATGGCGATGTGTTCACTCACAGGATGAGTGGCGCTGCCCAATACTGTCACTATGGCGATGTGTTCACTCACAGGATGAGTGGCGCTGCCCAATACTGTCACTATGGCGGTGTGTCCACTCACAGGATGAGTGGTGCTGCCCAATACTGTCACTATGGCGATGTGTCCACTCACAGGATGAGTGGTACTGCCCAATACTGTCACTATGGCGGTGTGTCCACTCACAGGATGAGTGGTGCTGCCCAATACTGTCACTATGGCGGTGTGTCCACTCACAGGATGAGTGGTACTGCCCAATACTGTCACTATGGCGATGTGTTCACTCACAGGATGAGTGGCGCTGCCCAATACTGTCACTATGGCGGTGTGTCCACTCACAGGATGAGTGGTGCTGCCCAATACTGTCACTATGGCGGTGTGTTCACTCACAGGATGAGTGGCGCTGCCCAATACTGTCACTATGGCGGTGTGTCCACTCACAAGATGAGTGGCGCTGCCCAATAAACTCGCCCCTTGGGGCAAAATTTCAAAAAATCACTCACACTACACCCCATCTATACCACCTGTCTGCTTTGTATCAGGTTATCATGCCCTAATTATCTTTAATATTTTGCCTATAATGTGACGGGCTTCAATTTTGCTTATTAACCTTTCATGTTGAAGAGCGTGGAAAGCCTTGCCAAGATCGTAATAAACAATATAATTTATATTACTAACAACTGCTTCAAATGTGAATACAACACGAGTATATTTATAACTTATGAGCTCGATCTATTAAACCCATTCTGAGCCATTTATATAACTGTTTTATAAGGTGACCGCTAATTGAGTTTGCTCTTTTTACTTCAAGTAAATTTCCCACTGTTGACGATAATTTAATGTGTGGTAGTGAAATGCAAGAGATGTGTGTCCTCTATAACCAGCACTACTTTAACAACCCTCCATGCTACTGGAACAACACTAGAGATTATTTATTTATTAAATAAACTTGCTGCAGTTCTTTCTAACATTTAAAACAAGCAAATGTTCGTTCATGGCTTAGAGATTTACTTGGCTGTAAGCTCTCTGTTAGAACAGGGTGAGAATAGCTTGAGCTACCTCATCCCTTTGTGTGTATTTTACCTCAATAAACTTATTTCAATTTCAATTTCAATTTCTCTGTTAACCAACGTCAATTCTTGTAACTGGAAACTCTCTTCAGTTATTTCCTACAGCTCCTCCTTTCTCAAGGCTGATATGATATACTTAACAAGGGTGTTGTTCATTGTCTTCATTATCAGCTAACCTGAGCTTGTTTTAACTGGCTTAAATTTATTTCACAAGAAACTGTTGATACGTTGACCAGACCACAGACTAGAAGGTGAAGGGACGACGACGTTTCGGTTCGTCCTGGGCCATTCTCAAGTCCATTGTGAATGGTCGACTTGACCACAATCGACTTGAGAATGGTCCAGGACGGACCGAAACGTCGTCGTCCCTTCACCTTCTAGTGTGTGGTCTGGTCAACATACTTCAGCCACGTTATTGTGACTCGTCGCCTGCAAACTGTTGATGACTTCTAACAGTCTTATGCCTCAGTATTACCCGCTTCGTGTTTCCATTTCATTGTATCAATACTATTTATTTCTTGTCGCCCAACTTGTGTTCATTATTTCTTGTTATCTTATGTGTGTATTATTATGTAATTAATGGTAAGATAAAGCTGTGAAGGTGATCGCATGTTTGACTTATACCGTTGATAGGTTAAGCAATAATTGTAAATAAGAAGCAATAAGATGCTTATCTTAACATACTAAGAAGGTTAGGTGAGGTCGGTGTTTTCTATGAAGCTTTTCAAGGTAAACTAAAATATTCACAATCAATTAGTATGTCACATATACACTTATTAAATAAGCCAATATTGACTATTAGCAAGTGCGAGAACGGGTTGCTTGGTATATCATTATATTCCAAGTTTTATTTTGTGTTAATTTGTTCCCATTATTTTAGAAAAAATGTGATTGGTCAATATCTCTCTTAGTCATAACTTTATTAGCTATTTGATGCCTTGAATTTTCACACATTCTCTCTATAAATTAATATTAAATGAAAGAAAGTGGCAGGAAATCTGGTGTTGACATATATGGTTCTTCAGAGGGTACAGCTGCGTGAGGCTGGCTAGCAGTGACCTGAGGGTGGAGAGCTGTCAGCTGTTGATCCAGCAGCTGAAGGAGGCCGGTGTGACGGTGTGGGGAGGCTTCTACATCGCCTCCACCAACATCCACCAGGTGGACGAGGCGGCGCTCATAGACTTCACTGACAACATGCTGGGATGTGTCTTCTGGAGGTAAGTCAACGGTGGACTCCACAATGACTCCAGTACAGTCTCTAAGCTAAGCAACTTACTGATATATTTGCTTATCATGCACAGCTCCCCCATCCAGTGGGCGGCGGTAGAAGGCTTACCATCACCCACCTTTACTACCTACAGCTTACAAACTGGCTGGAGGGTATATTTACTAACATTTCTGTAGCACAGGACCGAGTAGGGATGCTCCCAGAGTGCACAGTGCTACAGGACAAGCGAGATCTCCTACCCAGAGGACGCAAGATCACCAGAGCAGTTAACACCAAATAACACCGGTCATTTAGATAACATAAGGTTACAGTATTCCTTACACCCAGCCACTTCCACTCATATATTATCCTGACACGCTTCAACCTATCTGGTGATTCCATACCTCTTATGCTACACGGTAATTTGTCCCTTAAATCAACCTTCCTCTTTTCAAACCAGTATTTACCCAGGTCTTTTTTTAATAGAAACTTGTGCAATTGGTATCAATTATTTCGTTTTCTATTTTTAGCACCCTGATATATATTCCCCTTCAAATACTTCAATCATGACAAGCCTCACTCTTCGCCTTGCTAGAGAATGTATATTAAGTTTTTTAAATACTCTTCATAAGGGAGGTTTTCAATGGGATTAACTTTCACTAAAAATTTTCCTAACCTACCTCCTTTTTCAAGGTGATGTATTGTATACTGAACATTATATAGAGTACCTTGCACTTAAACACTTTGTATACAATATAATGCATTTACACACACACACACACACACACACACACACACACACACACACACACACACACACACACACACACACACACACACACACGTGTATAATAAAACAATTAACAATATTTATTTTTTATGCACATAGGATGAACGATGACAACATCTGGGTGCACTAGCAGCGACCCGTCTCATCACCCTCCTGCTGGGGGTCAGGAGCCACCAGTTGTTCGTCGTGTGAGGTTGTTCGTCGTGTGGGGTTGTTCGTTGTGTGAGGTTGGTCGTCGTGTGAGGTTCGTCGTCGTGTGAGGTTGGTCGTCGTGTGAGGTTGGTCGTCGTGTGAGGTTGGTCGTCGTGTGAGGTTGGTCGTCGTGTGAGGTTGGTCGTCGTGTGAGGTTGGTCGTCGTGTGAGGTTGGTCGCCGTGTGAGGTTGTTCGTCGTGTGAGGTTGTCTCTCTCATCATAGATGATGTCCGTTGCTCAGTCTACTGCCAAGGACTCATTAATATTCACACTATACGACATCCTCTGCGCCATGCTGGCTGCCGAAGACATTACTGATTCCCATGCAAGATTTTGAAACAGATACGGGTTGAGCCGCAAGTGAATAATGAGACGAAGAAGTGTTAAAATTGATAGTAACGTTAGACTAAATAGAAAGATTAAATGATAAGGTTGAGGGGGAGTGGAGAGGCAGGTATGGACACGAGGCAGCAACTGGCACCTGTACAGGAACAAGATGGCCGACGGAGGTGGAGATGACGATGGTGGAGACGACGAAGGCGGAGACGATGGAGGACGATGAGGTGCGGTGTGGTCCGATTATATAAGCAATCGATTACCGATTAATCTAGAGCCATCAGGCGTGCTGTCTACAAATACTAACAGCATAACCACCAACGCTCCTGAAATAGCTTCTACCACCAATCCACGACACCTGAGTCTACCTCAGGCTGCGAGACGAAAGACGAAAACACCAACTACAGAGGTTACAGACTCCTCAGATGAGGAAATCTTAGTAGGAACTCCACCGCCGCATCACAAATACGACACCTATTCGGCACAAGACCTCCTCATGGAGGCCACCTCACCAAACTCCAACGACAGCACGGCTCAGCCAAAGTCAAAAAACGTTAGACCTAGAGGTCTACACTAACCCCATCAGCTCCATAACTGATGGGGTTATGGAGCCAGCCCTCCATGACTGAAAACCACCATGAAGACTCCCATCCATCCCCAGATCTCTAGTATCAGCTATTGATACAGATAATGGCTCCAAAGAGCCTCCACTTACAGGCTCACCATAGCCCGTGCTACTTGGAACTTTTTGTTCTGAGTAGCTGAATCTAAAAGAAGAACAACAACGAATAATCTTACGGGCTATTCATGTCCGTGCCACCTCTGTGGGTGGCTTAATCTTCATCAATCAGTCAAATACTCTTCAGTCTAGAAGGTTCGCCCTCTGCAATATGGTATCTTCAGGCCACCAAGTTAGAAAGGTTAAATATCCCAAAAGGAATCCACAGGGAAATAGTTCGGTTACACAGACTACGTCTAAGTTACGGATGCAACTAAGAGATTGGTGAACCCCGACAGAGAGAGTGCATCTTCTGCCAAACAATCACAGAAAAGCCACTACTTCACTATCTCCTGGAATGTGAAGCAACCAACGACGCCTGACAGCTGAGTAGACAACGCTTCGGATTCGTAGTCCTGAGTTCCAGGATCGTTCCCCGGTGGAGACGGAGACAAATGGGCAAAAAGTTTCTTTCAGCCTGATGCCCATGTTACCTAGCACTAAATAGGTACCTGGGAGTTAGACAGCTGCTACGGACTGCACACAGTATACATTTACTGAACAAAAATTCTACCACTTACGGGCTATTCATGCCCGTGCCACCTCTTGGGTGGCTTAATCTTCATCAATCAATCAGTCTTCAGTCTGCTTTCAAGAATGATTCAGTACAGACGCTTGAGAGTTACCACACAACTTCAAACCTGAGCAGCAACAATGTAGCACTCAACGTGTCTAGTTCCTACCGACGCTAAGACGCTACAGCTTCGACACAGCAGACAGCCTGTGTCGAGGCTCTCTAACTAGCTTATTAAGACGGTAACTTGTTTAGCTAAATAAATTTGAGGGTTCAGTCCCTTAGCTCATTATGTGCCTCTGTAACCTTTTCCACTACCGCCCACAGAATGTGTATGGGGCGCATAATAAATGAACTAAACTAATTGTGTATTATCTAATGACATGTATATAGAAAGGGGCTACCAGCTCTGGTGGAATTGTGGGGCCTCGAAGGAAATAAAGATCATTCCGGTAAAATCTTGTCATTTGTCTCTGAGTCTGAATGAATATATATTTATCCTACCACCCTTTTTAGTATTATATGCAGTATTATACAAAGTTATATATTTTCAAAATTGATTGGTTATAAAATAGGAATGTTAAACAACAAAGTTCGACTCCTCGAAGTTGCAGATTTCTTCGAACTCTTCAGACGCGGGACAGGAACCGAGACTATAGTGGGCATCCTCGATCCCCCTCTGGATCGCCACACTGAGGTGCTCGAAAAGAAAACTGCTGTTTTTCTCTTGTTTCGACGAGCTTGGAACTCATCCCTGAGAAAGCTCCTCGCACTGTCCTACCATGGACCAGCAGACTCTGATCTTTTAGTCCCAGGCTGAAAAATCTGCGATCTCCGATCTGATCTCTGATCTGATTGCCCTGATCTCTTGCCCCAGGGTCTGAGACAAGAGATTGTTATTCTAATTACAGATTTGTGTTGAGTAATTAGAAGACGTAGATGATTTTGGGTAGTAGAACTCAAAGCACAAATACCATAATTGAGATAAGGATAGATGAGAGAGTAATAGAGCGTCACCAGGGCAGGGCGAGGTACATAATATCTGATCTTAGAAAGAATGCCGTCAGTTTTAGAATTATTTTTTTTGCTATATGTTAAATGTGTCCCTGAAAATTCAGCTTGTTGTTATCGATGAGGACACTAAGTAATTTACCATCTACTTTGTTACTAATTTGTATATTGTTAATTCTTAGATTAATTTGATCTTTGAATTTATTACCGAACAAAATATAGAAGGTTTTGTCAATGTTAAGGGTGAGTTTGTTAGCAGTTAGAAAACCAAAGATGGTTTTTATTTAGTTTAGTATTCACTGTAACATTCAGAGTAGAAGGTCAGGACTGGAAAAAATGAAGGTTGTCATTAGCAAATAAAATTGGGTTGAGGTGATGAGAGGCATTTGGAAGGTCATTAATGTAGATGAGAAAGAGGAGTGGGCCAAGTATGCTGCCCTGTGGAATACCAATGTTGATGGGTAGGGTGGGAGAGATGGAATTATTCACAGAAACATACTGGAGCCTGTCAGTAAGGTAAGACTGAAGGTATTGGAGGGAGTGACCTCTGAGTCCATAATGATTATGGCAAGAAGCATGACTCACGAGAATGTAGTGTCAAGATTCGAAATTGATCAAAGTTCTTGCCATCTTGTTGCAAGTGTAGAGGCATCCATAATGCGGGTTCCTCTCAGTGCTATATGAAACATGCACAATGGCCCCGTATGCACACTACAACACGCATATTTATTTCCAGCATTATACTTTAATTTATTTAGCTCCACATTTACTCCGCCCCTTGTACTTTAAGTGGAAATTTTTTTTAACAACATTTTGTAACTATTTACGTCCATGGACAATTACTTTCATTACAACTGCGTAGCATATTCATGGATTTTAACATGAACACAAGTTATTTATTTATTTATTTATATATACATACAAGAAGTTACATTGGGTTTATGAGAGTACATAGCATGAAGTATTTACATTCTTGTAAAGCCACGTACTAGTACGCACAGCGTTTCGGACAGAAACGCTGTCAAGTGATCATCTGACAGTTACACTAGCAACACATTTTAAGATCATCTTGTGATAACTTGCCTTACGAACACGCATTTTACATATATATATATATATATATATATATATATATATATATATATATATATATATATATATATATATATATATATATATATATATATATATATATATATATATATATATATATATATATTTGTGCACTTTCCCTTTCTGCATGAACCCCCTAAACTCAGAAGAGAGGGAGGACAGCGCTACTGCGACAAGGAGCACCAACGGAGACAACCACGGCACCTGCCCTCAAATCCTGAGAACATAACGACTAACACTTCTGAATTTTAAAGTCCTGACAATATCACCAGAACAAACCGCCGGCTTTCTGCCCCTGTAAAGGCCACTAGATATAGTGGCCCTCGGGTAAATCTAGACAAGAGGAGCTTTCAGAATAAGGTTTCAGTGGCCAGCTACTTCAGTCCGATTTCGGACTGAATTTCGTCCATAACTGGAGTTTTGGAGGCCTTTAACTAAAATTTATTCTGATTGTTTTATATATATGAAGAAGAAATCCCATATTCATTCTCTTCTGATTTTAACATTTGTGTGAGCTTCGGAATATTGGCGCCTGTACTATATTGGATGCAAGTTATTGTTTTGTTAATATCGACCTATTAATATAGTTGAACTAGCCTTTTGAAGATAGTAACTTAATGAAATATTATACAAAATCAGGAAGCACGTTAACTCTATTACAACATAAATGTGGACTTAATCCTCCTCAATGTTATTGAGAGAGAATACACTATACACTATAGGAACTGCCTCGTATGGGCCAACAGACCTTCTGCAGTTACCCCTTCTTCTTATGAGATAGAATACAATTTTGCTAGAAATTACCTACTTAAAATTATGCTACTACCTACTTAAATATGCCCGAAACGCTTTGCGTAATAGTGGCTTTAGGCATTGTATGTACTAGCCCTATCTATAAATCCATCACTCTTTGTAAAATCTCTTGTATGTATGTACCTTACCTAAATAAACATTTAATTTGATTTGATCTGTTAGAATAAGGACCTGTCCGAAACGCAATGCGTGCTAGTGGCTTTACAAGAAAGTAAAAACTCAATGCTATGTACTCTCATAAACCCAACCTACCTTCTTGTATATAGATATATAAATAGCTAAATAAATACATAATAATTCAAATCTGGCGGGTAAAGGAGAACGGGTGTGATGGTTGTGAGCGCCATCTGTTGGCAGTGTTGTTGAGGACGCGGCGCGTGGACCTGACGACCGCTGCCCCTCCTGTATCTCTCTAGCTCTGTACCCGGGTCTGTACTCCTTGTTACAGCTCTATACACACCTAACCTCGCATCTGGTGATCCCCCGTCACGTCACGCCTTGAGAACAGGTGAGACGCTTTGACTGTTGGTCGGCATGATGGACATGTGTGTGGGGGAGGGATTGTCGGCGTGGGGTTCCCGGGCATTTTGTAAGTCGCATTTATCACTTGTGGGTTGTGTTGGGTGAGGAAGGGACACCAGGGGACACCCATGGTCACCCGGGGACACCCGGGGACACACATGGTCACCCGGGGACACCAGGGGACACTTGGGGACACCCGGGGACACACATGGTCACCCGGGGACACCAGGGGTCACCCGAGGACACCCATGGTCACCCGAGGACACCCATGGTCACCCGTGGTCACCCGGGGACACCCGTGGTCACCCGGGGACACCCGTGGTCACCCGGGGACACCCGTGGTCACCCGGGGACACCCGTGGTCACCCGGGGACACCCGTGGTCACCCGGGGACACCCGTGGTCACCCGGGGACACCCGTGGTCACCCGGGGACACCCGTGGTCACCCGGGGACACCCGTGGTCACCCGGGGACACCCGTGGTCACCCGGGGACACCCGTGGTCACCCGGGGACACCCGTGGTCACCCGGGGACACCCGTGGTCACCCGGGGACACCCGTGGTCACCCGGGGACACCCGGGGTCACCCGGGGACACCCGTGGTCACCCGGGGACACCCGTGGTCACCCGGGGACACCCGTGGTCACCCGGGGACACCCGTGGTCACCCGGGGACACCCGGGGACACCCGGGGTCACCCGGGGACACCCGGGGTCACCCGGGGTCACCCGGGGACACCCGGGGTCACCCGGGGTCACCCAGGGACACCCGGGGTCACCCGGGGTCACCCGTGGTCACCCGGGGTCACCCGTGGTCACCCGTGGTCACCCGGGGACACCCGTGGTCACCCGGGGACACCCGTGGTCACCCGGGGACACCCGTGGTCACCCGGGGACACCCGTGGTCACCCGGGGACACCCGGGGTCACCCGGGGACACCCGGGGTCACCCGGGGTCACCCGGGGACACCCGGGGTCACCCGTGGTCACCCGTGGTCACCCGGGGACACCCGTGGTCACCCGGGGACACCCGTGGTCACCCGGGGACACCCGTGGTCACCCGGGGACACCCGTGGTCACCCGGGGACACCCGGGGGACACCCGGGGACACCCGGGGGACACCGGGGGACACCCGGGGGACACCGGGGGACACCGGGGGACACCCGGGGACACCCGGGGGACACCCATGGTCACCCGGGGGACACCCATGGTCACGCGACCTGTGATTGGCAAGTAACACGAGACTGGTATGAAATAATTAGCTGGCTACTGGAGTCCGCTTAATGTTTCCGTCATGTCCATTTGGCGCTGGCTGGTTCCTCAGGAATTTATTTATATACTATACCGGTATTTAAAACGTTAACCAAGAAAGTAACAATGAATCGTATCAGTGATAACGTTAGTTTTACAAAGAACTAGCACATGCCGTTTCACGCAAATTTTAATTCGTTAAGCTACACAGTGTCTAGTTTTAACATTCTTTTCCGATGTTAAAATGTTTCCTTGATCATGGGAAAGTAAAAAAAAAAAAAAAAATTGGCCATGACAGCAGAGAAGTTGAGAAATTTATGGGTGTTGAGGAGTAGGGGCTCGGAGATGTTAGCTCTGGCGACCTTGTGGGGCGGCAGTTGCCGTGAATATAATTTTTCATAATTATTTCAATATCTTTATTTTTTTCTAATATTCAAAAATGTATAATTTGAGATACAGGTACTTTATGTATATTACATATCACATACTGTATGTGGAACATTGATATGCTCGAAAATATGGTGCGCATATTAGTCACAATATATTTTTGATGTTATTATACTATATTCACATGTTCTATATAACTATCTACATTTTTATGCACCATTATGAACCAATAAGCATTTCTGGTGGTTGAAATAACTTTATAACTGGTTATCAGAGTTCAACCGAGTCCCGCATTTGTTTATATGAAATTGTAAGGTTTTACCATGTTTTTCATGCGTACTGATGCAATGTGCTGTCAGTAATGATATTTGTACCACAGAATGTGTAGAATATCGGTCTTAACAGATATACAGTATTCGTGTCACGTACCAATATGGGTACAAATATAACATTCTTTGAACAATAAAACATACTGTAGTTTTTGCTATTATTACACTATTCACACATCACATCTATCAACATTTTTATGCACCACAAAGAACCAGTAAGCCGTTCTGGTGGTTGTGGAGATGAAATCAAAACATAACATGAAGCACACTGTACGAGCAGATGATGCCTCAACAGATGTCACCTGATCCAAGTAAATGCCTCCAAATATACTAGCCACAGAACTGCTATTATCACATTCCTGTCACTAAATCCTGAGTATGAATCCATTTCCACAAGGTTATATTCTAAATGAGCATGTCGTTGTTTCATGGTGTATACATGGATGAAACAATGGCTTAGTATTGTGGCTGTCTGCCTCATACGGTGAACATTATGATTAGCATTGTCATATCATGACTCGACCCGTCCTCGGCTCAAGTTCATTACATCCAGCAGTCGACCCCACAGACGCTCATAAAATTTAACATGCTGTTTATTCAAAACAGGAATTTTTTCATATTTAAATTATTATACAGTAATTGCATATTGTGCATGTGTAGGCGTAGGTTAGGTTAGGTGTATAGGTTTTGTTGGCGATTATTTGTATTTGAGTACGTGGGTAAAGCATTTACAGTGTTGGGGTTTGAACAAAATTCGTCAATGAAGCACTTCTTCCGGAAATATTTGAACGTCATCAGTTGAGTCGTGCATAAACCATTTTTCATTAAAAAAAAGGGTTTGGCGGGTGAATGGAATCACTTTTGGGTCTTTGGAAGACGGTCTGCATGACTAAGGACAAAGATTCATTAACACTAACTAAAGAACATTTACACATTTTCATTGTAATTAGTCTAATATTTTCTTTTCTTTTCAGGAACTGTTCTTATTTAGTGGGAAAATGGAAAAAACAGCAAGAGGTATGTTACAGTATGGAATATTTGTAAATTAAACATAAATGTAGCATTCTTTTCTAATTAGGTACTGTTTCTGAACCAGTTGGGATCAAACTATTTAAAAACTTAGATTCTGTATGTCTGGATAACCACATGTACTCAGTTATGAACAATATTTATTTCATGTCTAAAAATTCATTTATGTACGGGGATCTATAAATACTGTACTGTCAAAATAATAAAAGGTAGTAAAAAGTAGAGGAGTAGAAATAACAAATACCTTGGGTACTCTCCATAAGTTAAATTGTTCCTCCACATTCAGTCTTGAAATGAGGCCTAGGAGAGTATTTTCTGCTAATATGGTTATACAAAACCCTGTGTTGTTTTTTAGGTTTTTCTTCTATGCAATTCGAAGATGCCTCTATTTCTCTCTTGACCTTCGTATATTCATTTTAGGCCCTCTTAACACTTTCGCGCTATCTGGACGCGCCGGCGCGTTCGGTTTCGTCTAACGTAAACGCATAGTGGACATAAAGTTATGTCAACTTTTAAAATATTTGTATAAAATTCAATTTTTATCTGATTTACTTTGGGTTTGTTTCAAACTGCGCGCTATGAGGCTCTCTTTCTCACCACTAGGCTGCATGGCACAATAAGTTCATGAAAGGTGTGGATAACTTCGATCAAATGGTATTTTGTCCCAAACGGGTTGCAGGTGGGTGACTTTAGCCGTTTATACTAGTAATTCTTCCCCCATATCATGTATTATATGCATATGTCTGTTTAGGGAATTTTATTCCGATCAATATACAACCAAAAATAACTGTGTGCAACAAGTATAATCTTGACAAACATAACAAAAGTAAAAATATTTCGTGTGTGTTTGACGCTCACTGATATGTTCCAGCGTTGTTTTATATTTGTCGCTATTCTAACTTACGCTTTGTTGATATTTTTTACCTATGGGCACATAGAACATTCTATTGCGAACACATTGACATAAAAATGAATGACGTACATAGAAAATTAATGTCATGAGAGTGAAATAAGTATAAACTTTCAAAGCGCCGTGCGTCGTCCCGTCACCGATACCGGGTAACAATTTCACCACTTCCCACACTCTTGCGGGCGGGCTGCATCATTATTCTACGCTTATATTCACATCACCGTGTTGGGAATTTCATTGCGAGTCCATTGATACCAAAATTAACGCTGTAGAACAAGTGTGGAGGTGATTACAATCCCAAGAGTAAAAACATTTTGTTGCTGATGGGCGCTCACGGCGAGTCATCTACGTAGTTATTTATTTGGTGCTGGTATCCCTATATGTTTCGTGACTTATTTTACTAATGTTCTTCTAGAGAATTTTATTGCGAACACGTTGGTACCAAAATGAAATACGTAGCATGAGAACTAAGGTCAGAAGAGTAAAAAGAGTATACACATTTTTGTTTTTACGCTTAAGCGATAAAAACGCAGCGCGCACATTCGGTTGGCTGAGTGACCTTTGCGGAGAGCGCGAAAGTGTTAAGTGCCCTCCCGATTTTAATTGATATTCTGCTGCCTGTACTTTTTCCTCTTGCCTGTATGTAGCAGCCTTTCATTGATGAATTATGGACTAAGCTTGCATTTACCCTTTTCCAAAGTGGCATATCATTTTGACTGCTGCGTTTGCAGATGGCATACTCCATTTCATTTATTCTCTCACCTCGCTCCATATAGTCACTTATGTCTGGCAACAAAAAATAAAAGGTACCACTGACAGCCAGTGACCACTGCTTAATCATATTCAACCACATCGTTAAGCTGAAGAAAGTTATTTTGTTGGATAGAAGGTATAGGAGAGAACTAAACAATAAGTGGGGAGAGAGGAGTTGTTAATCCTTCTTTTGTCTCCTTACTTGTCTAGTTCTCCCCTGCACCTTCTATCCAACAAAATCACTTTCTTCAGCTTAATGAAGTGGTTGAATATGATTAAGCAGTGGTCGCTGGCTCCCAGTGGTACCTTTTATTTTGTTGCCATCCGTAAGTGACTATATGGAGTGAGCTAGAGTTTCTTATGGTTTATTTTCAAGCTTTTCGAGCCTGGTGCTAAAATCTCCTAGCATCCATTCTCACAATAACTTTTGAAGTCGTGGATGGTGGTGGCATTCATGACATCCACGTGGATGGTGGTGACATCCATTACACTTATTGTCCACTTATATCGGAGTAAGAGCACATGTTTTCTACTTGCTTGTTTCAAAAATTCCACCTGTCATTTTCTTCTATTTTCTCTAATTTGAAAACTACTTATCCATCTTGACTGTTTTCCTCAGTATTTATGTTGTGATCTCCATTTTTAAGTAACAAGTCAACTTCATTTGTTGTGGAGATAGGGTGCATTGAAAGTAGAAGGAAAAGGGAACCACATAGAATAGGGAATTGATAAAGGGAATGAGGACTACTCATAATAAAATCTCACTAAGTAGTTTACATATTAAAATGCAGTAGCCCTCAAGTCTTCGTTTATCAATTATTTTCATTTCTTTTCAGGAGGGAAAGGTACTGTGAAGAAAAACAAGAAACAGCCAGAGGTTGTCGTAGAAAAGGAAGAGATGGACATACAAGAACATGAAGAAAATGGTGAAGAACAGGATGAGCAGGATGAACAAGTTGAACAGGAGGAGCAAGATGAACAAGATGAGCAAGATGAACAAGCTGAACAAGATGAGCAGGATGAACAGGATGAACAAGATGAGCAAGATGAACAGGAACAGGAACAAGATGAACAAGAAGAAATGGAGCATGATGGAGGGGGGGGGAGGAGGAGGAGGAGGAGCCAGAAATTATTGAAATAAAGGATGATGATGAGGAGGAGGAGGATCAAAATGATAAAAAAGATGCCAAAGATCGGTATGGCTACACGAAACGAGATGAATTTACATCGGAAAATTTTAAGATTGAACTTCGTGGTTTACCTCGTTATTATTCTGTGGCTGTAAGTGAGATCTTGATTTACATTGATAAGTTTTTATTATTAGTGATTCATTTTCCTAAAAATGAAGTACAGTACTGTTATATTACATTGTCTTGACTTAACATTGCATTTTAGTTCTTAAATGACAGTCCAGTTCCTAAGGACTGTAACTTAAATTTAAGCACTCAAATGTGGTGAATATCAAGTCCCTTAAGTCAAATACCCAGTACCTTTTAATATCTATACAGTACAGAAAATTCATGGAAGTACAATATATGTGAAAGGCAAGTGGAGAAATATTAAATATGCTGTCCCATCTGTAAGGCTGCTGAAATTCAATAACCTTTTGGCAGAAATTTACACACTGAATCTTTGCTATCATTCAGTTATTTATTATTCCTTATGATGTAATGAATGCATAAGGCAGTCAGCATCCTGATAAATTAAGTACATATACAGTGTATTAACTACCCATTTTCTGCATAGTACTGCTTGTTTAAATTTGTAATTTTTCACTAGCGTATACAGTAATGTTATGTTTTACTTTCATGCAGCAATTGAAGAAGCTTCTGAATGAAACACTGCAGCTGAAGGCCCATAAAATCAAGCCAGCTGGACCAGGCAAAAATTTGGCTTACATAAACTTCAGAGATGAGAAAGCAAAGCAGAAAGCTATGGTTGTTCTGGATGAATATGAATGGAAGAAATGTACATTTAAAGTAGCAGTAAGTATTGTTAATTTTGTTTCATTTATTATTTTTGCTAGGTTTTGAGCATACTATAAAAAAAATTATGACCATAAATTGTGTTATAAATATATTATTTTATCTATTATATATTCCTAATAGGGGAATATATACTGTACTTTATGGATTTGTTAAAAAAATTTTTTTTATACCCTATCTAAAGGACACCTTTTTGTATCTCTTCTCACCCCTCTCATGCTTATGTATCTGACTTTGGGAGAGTGAGATCTTGCTTTTTATGGGTAACCCCTAGTGGCTCTCTGAAGTTATCTTGGCAAGATTGGTCCTAGCTACTAAGTCACATCAGTCATGGAGTTGTTTTTGGCCTATCGAGGACCAGAGCAGAACCTGGGCCCCCCTCACAGGAGGAGTGACACCTTGTCGCCTCACTGAGTAAGCGTCTAGTAAGTCAGCACACCAGTACAGACCACTGCCGGGTTCAAAAAAGGCCAAGAATCTATTATTGCCAAATGAATGCCCTAACTTTGTAAATAAAGGAATGACTTGAAACTAGTTAGAACATGTTAACACCAAACTACTGCTACCATAGGGCCCAGATCCCCAGGGCTCTCCCTACCCTCCCAAGTCAGTTCTGTTACTGATGTGGTCAACTGTGGTTGTCCACTGAAGTGCTCCTGGGTTGCCTACCAGTCTCACAGGTCCTGCTGCTTAAAGCCAAGTGCTGGCCATTCTTGGACTTTTGCATCTTGTGAGGGTACTTGCTTGGTATTACAGTATTCAGATTTTTTTTTGCTTCACAAGCATATTTTCATCTGGCTTGTTGTGAGAACATGGCTCATTTTGCACCTGGAGCTGCATGCATTCATGTTTATTTCCCTGGGTACTCCTTGGCACTGCTGCACTGCATTACTTCTCTGGTGTCTTCAGGAGTTCACTCTTTTCGAGGCCAGACCACTCGGGTGGGGTGCCTAACCTCTGGTATTGCAAGGGTCTTTTTCACTTCTATCTTCACCTGTGGTTGGAAGCAGACATTTCAGTTGGTTGAGGTGTGCTGGGGTTCACATGTTTGTTTTACATAGCATGCTGAGGTCAGCTTTCACAGCCATGTTTTTAAGGCTGTTTTTGCTTATTCTGGTGAGCATCCCCAATGCCTGGATGTTCTGTTTTGCGATTACCTCGGGCCATGGTGTTTTGGTGTGGTTCCCATGGATCGCCCCATGCCCAAACTTACCTGTAGTGAGTTTAAGGGGTGTTTATTATCTGTGCCATGTGGCAATGACCAATCTTTCTGCCTCTTCCTTGCTGCACATTGGGTCAGTGACACCTTCAACCCTGAGTCCTGCTTTGTTCTCCATATGTGCCTCTTTTTTTTTTTTTTTTTTTCCAACCTGCTTTTAAGGTTGGAAATGTGTGTAACGGTTTTGGCATCCACCTCAAAAGTGTTAAGTTCTTTATTGCCTTTTCACATAATTTGTATGTTGTGAGTGGCACATTTTTCCTATTCAACATTGCATTACGTGGCATTGATTCACATTGAATTCCAAGTGCCCAGTGTTGCTTTTTTCTTTTGTCCAGGTCATCTTAAAGGGCATGATAATCATCTAACACTTATCTTCCCTAGTAACTTAGTAACATAGGCAAACATGATCATATAGTTTGGTACTCCTTATGGTTGATCATTTATGAGCATTACTGGTGCAAGAACTGAACCTTTCTCTGCTAGTAGCACTTTTTTCAGCCTGATACTGGATTGGATTACCTTGGATTGCCACCCTCATCTTTCTGGCAGTTAGAACATTTTTCACCCATGTCAGCAGTCTTCCTGTCACCCCTTTATCGTGTTCGTTTCCAGAACGACCTCTTTTTTGGGACTTTGTTGAGCACCTTTCTTAGGTCCAGATAAACAGTCGACCCAACCTTATCTTTCCTGTAGAAACTGTACCTCTGTCATAAAAACTAAGTAGATTTGCTACACAGTATCTTCCTATTTGAAAACCATATATATTGTTTGTGTCTGTCAAATCATCTCTCTTAGTATTCTACCATTTGGTTTTAACTTTTTTTTTCTAGTGTTTCGATTACCATGCTTGTGCGAGTGTTTGTATTACATTGAGGTTACCTTGAGGTGCTTCTGGGGCTTAGCGTCCCCGCGGCCCGGTCGTCGACCAGGCCTCCCTTATTTGTTTATCTGATTTTAAAACAATGCATATTTCATTCATCAGACTGCCAAACCAGTTGAGGATCCACTCGTGAAGCATAAGGAGGAAGAAGAGGAGGTAAAAAAGAAAAAAGAGTTTGACCCAGACAGTGGACTTAGTATGGCAGAGAAAGTTGCAAAGAGCGTCACACCATATGCACATTTGCCCTATGAAGAACAGGTAATTTGCTAACATTTCTATTTATAAATTGGTGTTTGCAGGAAGTTTGAGACCACTAGTGGAGTTGCAGGTAAGAGTTTGACAAAATACAGTTGTGGGAATGTAGTTTGTTGATATTCAGATCAGGACTCAACAATGATAAAGAATGAATTTGAAACATGTTTAGTTAGCTTTTTTGATAAAAGCTTAAGTAGATAGGCAGTTCTATATCATAATTGCTCCAAATTTGAAGAAAAATTTGTGTTATTGCCAAAGTATAGATAAATATTGATGTATTATTTCTAAACTTTTGGATATAATTTGTATGCACAGTTTTAACATTTGATTCTCTAAGCCAGCATCCACTACATTTAGCATTGTTCACATGATATACCAGTTCTTTATACCTTCTAAAATACTCAAATTGTTTCAGTAATCAGTGTCATGATGTACATCTTGTAAATGACAATAATTAAATTTTTTATTATAATATAATTATAATAATAATTATTAATTTAATACTACTGCCACTAATAATAATAACTTTCTATTCTGTAATCCTTTCATTTCCAAATAATTTAATAATAAAACCGCTGTTCTAAACTTTTAAGTAGTTTTTTAAACAATTATTGCAGTACAGTATATGAAAGTGCTGAGGCCACACCACTAGTGTTAAAGTAATTTGTTCAATCTTTATGTAATAGATGTCATATTATATTGATTAGTCTCATTCCATGCCAAATCATCATGGCTGCCAACCTTGACCATCTTAGATTTACATTCAAGATCCTAGCAAATTGTGAGTACATGAAGTAACGGACATGTGCAAAATTTTAGCCCTTAGTGATGCATAATCTTCATGTCATAGGGATGCAAGTGTGAAGATAAGTACAATATAAAAAGTACTTAATTTTGGTAGGGAAAATGTGAGACACTTAAAGGCACTCTCTCTTTAATGAAAGTTTAATTTTGGGATGGCTTTGGGAAGGGGTAAAATTTTTATTAAAGTATAGATGTGTAGAAGGTATACTACTTGCACCAAGCACAAATGTGGCACTGTCGATGGGCAACCCTCAAACTTGCACGTAGTGAGTATGAACTCGATAGGTTGGTCAAGCCACTTTGCATGCCTGAAGGTGACCAACCAAGCAAGAAACCCAGGCAGTAGGGATGCTTTCTAGAAAAACTAGCACCGAAGGGAGCCTGTACTATAAACACTGCTGTGAAGGGTGTCAGCAGAGCATGCATTACCCTAGTGCATCCCACATGTAAAGAAATAGGAAGCCAACTGTAGTGTCTCGTACTCTAGTCGGGAAGAGGCACTCTTCCCAGATGGCCTGGCCTTGGGGGGCAAACTGTGCACACACACCAGTAAAATGACTGTCAGTACAGGGGCAACATTAAGTGAAAGTTAAGGAAAGGAGTCAATAAACTGATGCAGCCAAATCACAATAAACACTATATCCACATAAGAGCAAAAACGAAAAGCTAGGAACAATGTACAAACAAATGGCCTCCACAGGCTGAAAGTTGTGGCTGGCTGGCACTTAATACTTTCGCGCTTTAGATTAGAGATAACTCGTCGCCGTTTTCTCTTACGATTCCGCATAACTGCCTACTTTTCTCGTCCATCGAAAAAATATTTCTATAAATTCCATTTTTTAACCGAAATGGATGGGGATACTTTTGTTTTGTAGAGAATTTATTTGCGAATGTTTTGGTACCAGAATGAATATTATATCACATAAACGTCTATGAGTAAAAAAAAAATACACAAAGTATGTTTGGGGGTGTGGCGAGCGTGTGGCAGTTGGTTCCCTTTAGCCGTTGATATATCCAACACGTGGGAAATGTTTGTATGTGTTATGTATATGTCTGTGTAGGGAATTTTACTGCGATCACTGTCATACAAATTATAAAATGTTTCAACAAGTATAAACATGACAAACATCAAACGAACGAAAACAATGCGTTCGTTTCTGCCGCGAACGCATACTGAGCGACGTGGTTCTATATTTGGCGCTTCTCTTACACATGCTTTGTACAAATGTTATACAGTTCATCTTATAGAAAATTTTATTGCGAACACATTGGTATAAAAAAGAAATGCGTACATAGAAAAGTAGGGTCAGGAAACGTATAAACTTTCCAAGCATGATTTTCCCCGTGTTTTCGCCAGTGCGCTCGCGGTTAACTACTCTCCACTTCACACACTCTTGCGGGTGGGCAATTACCTATATTAAACATTCATATGCATATGTCCATGTAGAGAATTTTATTGCGATTCCAATGCTACCAAAATTAGCGATGTAGGACAACTGTAGGCTTCGCAACCATTAAGAGAGTGGAAACATTTTGTTGCTGTTTGGCGCTCTCGGCGAGTGATCTGCATAGTTTTTTATTTGGTGTTGATACTCCTTATGCTTGGGCGGCATTTTATAGGTATGCTCTTATAGACAATTTCATTGCGAACACAGTGATACCAAATTTAAATACGTGCACCTTCAATTATTGTCAGGACAGTCAAAAGAGTGTACACTTTTCGGTCTTACCGCGTAGGCGCGCGAAGTGCCGAAAGCATCTGGGGTATTGTTTTTTTTTTGAGCGCCGAGAGCGCGAAAGTGTTAAGAAGGATGTGTTAAGACTGGTGACAGTGAATAGTGGTCGAGGCCACATCAGCGACAGAACTGAACTGACAGGTTGCTAGGATGTTACTGGCTGGTGGCTCTGCACATGCACACTAACTAGAGGGTGGGGTTTGTACTCTAGGCCGAATAAATTATTTCATTTTTAGCTGTCTTGGTGCTTTTTCACGAACCATGCAATTTTTTGTATTCTCACCGGTATGAGTGCTTTTCCATGTGAGGTGTCCACAGTAGGCCAACAGAAGACTGATATGACCGGATGGGAAGTTCTCGGCTAATATAGCTTCTGAAAGCCACCAAGGGGGCTTCCCCAGAAATGTGAAGTTTGTATCTGTACACTGTGCAGGTATATTGATAACTAATTTGGAAGCTTTGTTAATTACTTCATGGCAGTTTTTAAAACAATTCTTTATTTCATAAAATGGGTTATGAGAGGCATTCTCCTTTATAAGAGATACCAGGGCTGCACCTCATAGTTGCCTTAATGTAATTTATTTATGTATCGGGTTTTATTGTGTGCTAGAAATAGAATGAGGTAAATAGAAAACAAATTCTGTATATAATTTGAGATGGGTTTAGTGCTAGATAACCACAATGTAAAATACATTATACAGTATACAAATTTGTATTATATTAATTTCTAAAATAATTATAGCTCAAGATCAAGCAGAAGGAAGCTCTACATGTGTTGCGGAAATTTGGAACCGAACTAGCTAGAGTCAACCCAGAACTGGTTGATTGGGTTCACTGGCAAAAGTTGCGACGACAAGGGCAGGTGTGTGAAGTGGATGACATTGTCCCTTCACCAATCACAAATGGTTATCGTAACAAGTGTGAATTTACAATTGGTAAGTTGATGGTATTAACTAAAACATTACCTGAACTCATCTTCATGTTTTCTTTTTTCACTTGGTTAATCTTGTACCTGAAGGATCTCTAGTTGTGTAAATTTCTTAAAAGAAAATAACAGCAATCTCAAACTTGACTGCTCTTGTCAATTTCTCATCAAAATTCTACCAGTTTCTCCAATTGTTCTACCAGATTGTGCATCTAATTATTGATTTGGTTGTGTGTTGGCTGTGTGGCTGCTCTAGCTTGGCTGTGGACAATATTAGTCAATACATATAATAGTTTGTTTAGCAAAGTTTTTAAAAATTAATTCCACCACTTCTCCAATGGGGCTTTGTTTGTTGTGATTTTACTTATTGGATCTAAATATTCTCTAAATGGGATTTTAGCAAGTTATTATTGATGTATTCTTTCAGGTATCAACCCGGAGAATAATTTGCCAACTGTTGGTTTTCGTGTTGCAAGTTATAAGGAAGGCTCGATGGATGTTGCTCCAGTCGAGCATCTTTGTCATCTTTCTAGCCAGATGAAGAGAGTTGTGAAGGTGAGTCAAGCTTACACTCTCCCGCTGTCCCATCCCTTCACCATCCACCCACCTCCCCACCCATTTTCAACCCTTACCCCACCGCCCCAACTTAAATCCCTCTCCACCTCTGCTGTACATTTTCCAGTCGCCTACTCCATTCTCAATTACCCCTCGTTTTCTTCCACTCCTTTTTTCTCCTCCCTCCCACTCTTTTTCTCCTCCCTCCATCTCCCTCTCTCTCTCTTTTCCCCTCCCCCCCCTCTCTCTCTCCTCCTCCCCCTCTCTCTTCTCTCCCCCTCAATAATAAGAATGTCCCCTTATTCTTCCTACTTTTTTTTTTTCCCCCCCTCTCTTCCTTCCCCTTCACCCCCCCCCCCCCCCCCCCCCCCCCCCCCCCCCCTCCACTCATTTCTCTCTCAGAATATGCTTTCAGTATTTAAATGTGAAAAGGATTAAGAGCAGTGAAGTGACTGGTGACTTGGACAAAGGTTGACCTATTACATTTATAGCCTTGATGCCACCTTGTTCCTGGGGCTTCCCATTATTGGATAGCCACACAAATCTCTCTCATTAAAGCTCTCTGATCCCCCTACTCACACCTTCTCACATTGTTATACTATTCCCTTCCAAGATACTAGCAGTTGCTTCTACCAATATGATCTCTATTTCTCCTCTGAACACACTTCTCTTTAAAAGATTCTCCATCAGTCTACTAACATTTCCGTACCACCTCAGTGTGTTAGACTTCTACCACCCCAGAACTCCACATTTCATTCCTTTACTGCTTTTATTTGTACCACTTCTCTCCTTACTACCTCATTGTTAAATTGATCTTGCTTACACCAGCTGCTTTTCTCAATATATTAATTTCTGTTGCTTGTACCCTTGACCACTCTGCCAGTTTCAGGATCCAAGTTGCACTTCCATGTCAGGGCTAGGAATAGTATACTACAGTGTGTCCTTAACCCCTAGACGGCAGCTGATGTTAACTAACATATAGAGCTTCAGCCAATATCATTGTTGCTCTACTTATAAATGTCTGTAATTACAAGACTTGACAGTTCTGTTTTTATCTAATAAAAAGATAAACGTTGTTATATGATAGTCACTAAATAGAACATTTTTGTATAATGTGGAAACATGGCCACAAATATTTATGCAAATTTTGTTTAACATTATCCAGATCATGTTTTGTCAGGGAGGAAAGGGTTAGGTGCCAGGTCAGTCTTTAAAGAAAAAATTATTTGATCTAGTTGTTGCTATTATACAGCTAACATTGTTTTACTTTTTAAATTCTTGCAGGAATTTGAGACATACGTTAGAGATTCAGGACTTGCACCATTCAGTCCTTTAACGCACGAAGGAGTCTGGCGTCAGCTGAATGTAAGAACATCACGGAACGGTGATATTCTTATTGTCCCCGTGGTGAGTGTAATTTTTGTATTCTTCGTTCTGTGCATTTAAAAACAAATGAATTAATGTATGACTGTGATCCCTTTATGAATAGGTTATGACCAGACCAGCCAGTAACTTCAGCAGCTGCCACTGCCTGACTGAATAAAACTTTTGAAGACAGTTTTGGGATACCATTACATTTCTTGGAAGTGCATTTCACAGATTTTTTCCATTGATTGTTCTTCAAGTGCCTTCATTGAAAGAAGATTTCAGTGTTAACTCATAATTGATATGCTATAATTTGAAATTGCTGCACTGATAGCATTTAAAACGCCTTGTTTGATAGTTTGCCATTTGTGCATTTCCCCCTTGTGTTGCTCACTAGCACTGGGGCTGCAGCTTTCCTGAGAACTGTAACTCAAACCCAAATCCTCAGAGTGGTGGAGTATGAGCAGCAGCTTTGAAGATGACTACAACCACACAACTGCTTCTTGTGATGGTCATTTCTGAAGACTTCACTCTTCATCCCTTTGCACGTGCTCTGATGCATACAAATGCTGCATTGATCCTCTTGGCAACTGAGCACTTAGTGGAGAGGTGACTCTGGATCTGGCACTGTCTCACCATATGAGTTACACTCCTGTTGTTGATCCATTCTACCTGCTGAAGACTGCAGGTAACCAGTGAGTGAAAGTGGACCTCAGGCCCTCTGCAATTCTCTCATTGCAGACTGTAGCTTTACCACTATGCTAGCTATCACCTCTGAAGTCGATGGTATCAAGTAGCTCTAAACTCAAGACTGCCGCTTCAAATAAATGTCGCGGCAAACTGTCTCTTCTGCAGCTGATTTGGTTGTAACTGGCTGTAACTTTGGTTGTAACAATGTCCCTGGTTATCAAGAAAGTCCAGATATGCCAATTCTTAAAAAAAAAAAAATTCTTGAAAAATTTTAGAGGAATGCCTGGGATACCCTACGTCGGCAAAAGCTAGTATGAAAGTAGTGTGTCAAGCCATGAAACTACTTGTGGTTCCCTCACGCTGTCACATGATCAAGGCTCAAGTGTTGAGTGGTCCTCGCGTTCAACCTGTTGCCAGTCACGTCCTTTTCTCTCATCCTTTGTCTTGGGGCCTCTCTTGCTCCTCTAGGTGCAAAAAAGTCCTTAATTGCTGTGGTGATTTGCAACTGCCATATTTCAAAATGTCGGGTAGGCTATTCCCCTGAAAAATCCTTAACAGAAATTTCTCCTAAACCATGTAACTTGCACACTTCCTGCTTGAACTTAAATGGTCACTGGACCATCAAGTATGTACAAGGTAGGAAAATGACTCTTTGAATCTAGAAAAGATACAAACAAGATGGCAATAGTAATACCAAAGGATGGTGTGCAAGATTGAAGTTAATCCATACTCACTCACAGGTGGAACTGTTGTGAACTATATTGCATTTTGCATTTATTTTGAGCACAGGTTAAATCAACAAATACAAGGCAGCTTACATCTATGGTGAGCCACACAATTGACATGCTATAAGGAAGTTGTTGAATTTATTTTATTTTTCTTAACAGATCCATCCTCAAGAGATGAGCAGAGAGGAATTAGATGACCTGAAGAAGAATATTGTCACATACTTTACTGAAGGGCCTGGACAGTCATTGGCAATAACCTCAATTTTCTTCAAAGCATATGGACAAAAGTAAGTCGCTGAAGTATTAGCCACTACTGTAGGTGTACTATATAGTTTTCACATTATTTTGTTTTAGTTTATGCAGAATTAGCTCAAAATTTTTAACACAACTATGGTGATTTTAGGTATGTAGCCCACTGGTGGGACCTTGTACCTTGAGTTGCCTTGGAGCATTTCCAGGACTTAGCGTCCCCCGCGGCCCGGTTGTCGACCAGGCTTCCTGGTTGCTGGACTGGTCAACCAGGCTGTTTGGCGCAGCTGCTCGCAATCTGACGTATGAATCACAGCCTGGTTGATCAGGTATCCTTTGGAGATGCTTATCCAGTTCTCTCTTGAACACTGTGAGGGGTCGGCCAGTTATGCCCCTTATGTGTAGTGGAAGTGTGTTGAACAGTCTCGGGCCTCTGATGTTGATAGTTCTCTCTCAGAGTACCTGTTGCACCTTTGCTCTTCAACGGGGGTATTCTGCACATCCTGCCATGTCTTCTAGTCTCATGTGATGTTATTTCTGTGTGCAGGTTTTGGGACCAGCCCCTCTTAATATTTTATCTTAAAATCTTAAACACCTTACATCTTAATCTTAATCATCTTAAAATCATTTTAAGTATTTGGCTTGGGTACTATATTTTTATTATTTCTATTAAAAAGTGTCTGACATGGTTTGTTTTTTTAGATCAGTAAAAAAGTTTATTGCCAATAATAAACACCAAAAAACATTTGCTGAAAATTGAATATCTGAAAATGCTAAGCTCACTTATCCGGACTACATGGAAAGGACCCCACACCGGATAACCTGGACATCTGGATAAGCAGAATTCTTACTGTGAAAGTCCAAAGATGAATATATTAGCAATGTTTTATACCACAATCGACATAATTCAAATTTCCACACATACTATAAATAAAAAATATAACTTAAACAAACTTATCTTGTAGTTTGTCGTCTTGATTGACACTGTAGATCTTGATATGTGTAGCTCTTGAAAATTTATGTAACCTAATCTCCAAATATCCAGATTTCTGTCCAGATATGGCGAGGTTTTGCTAGAAAATTATTCGGATGCGATTTTGGCAGGATAATCCCAAATATCCAGTTCAGCGGGCTTCGGATAATAGAGCTCATACAGTAACACACATGCCTTAACTCGTGACTATTAATTACAGTTGCAGTTAAAGGCAGAGGTGCTAAGAATATTGTGCCAAACAGTGTGTGACAGTTGTGGTCGACAAATCCCAATTAAAATTTTAAAATCTTACTCGGGTTAAGGAAGGAAATAATGTTCTTGTAAAGTGATGCTTCCTTAATTCAGTGACACAATTTGTTATAGACATCATAGACTTAAGCAACTGAAATATTATTTTTCAACAGAGAGCAAGGTGAAGAGGAAGAATATGAACATTTATGGGGTCTGGAATATATCACTGAAAGTATTCTTGACAAGAAATTCCGTGTGTCCCCAGATGCTTTTCTACAGGTGAGGAATTTTTTGCAATGTAGTTTACTATGGAGGAGTTATTGATATTTTTCAATATCTATATCCTTTTCTCTAATATTTATCATTATCCTTTTGTTACAAAGATGATGCCTTCTTATCCCGTGAAAGTAGTGCATGGGATGATGGTAATGAATTAATGAATGGTTTTGAACTGTTAATTTTATAATATGGGAAAATCGGTAGGAGCCACGAGGAGAATTTCAAACTGCACACTTTGGGTACTCCCAAACCCAAGCTCTAGACCACTACACCATGATATGTTCAAAAGCATTGCAATCTGGGATTCAACTGAATTCTCTAGGGGTTCTGAGGCTTCCACTGAAGCCCTATCAGGGGTTGCATTGCTTTTGACTATATGGTGTGGTGTAGTGTTCTAGGGTGTGGGCTTAGGTGTACAATCAATCAATCGAATCCTCCTAATGGCATTTACTGATTTTCTCATTGATACATCATGTTCATGTGATTTTGTCGTGCTTATAAAATGTGGCTCATATAGATGGAAGACATTTGAATGGTCTTCATGTTTTCTTTTTACTTATCATCCTCCCTCATTTTACCATTTCCCAACTACTGTTTTTCCCTCTACATCATTAATCTTATGTTTACACTAACACTAAAGGGACATGCGGGGACACTAAAGCCCTGAAATCATCTCAAGATAACCTCAAGATAGTTCTGAGTTATGCCTTTCCTTGTGTTGGTTCCAAAGATTAATGTCACCATGGCCCAGTCTCTAACCAGACCTCCTGGTTAGTGGTCTGGTCAACCAGATTGTTACACAGCACAGCAGCTGGCATCCTTGGTGTATCAATCACAGCCTGGTTATTCAGGTGTATTTGGAAGGTATAAAAGTTCTCATTTAGCACCATGAAAGGTTGACTGGTTATGCCTCTTGAGGGGCTAATGTTGAAAAGTTTTGGGCCCTAAATATTGATAGAATTCCCTCAAATATCTATTGCTCCACTGTTTTTCAGTGGAGTAATTTTACACTTCCTGTCATGTCTCCTGGACTAATGTGGAGTTATTTCCATGTACAAGTTGGAACCAGTCCCCTCAATATTTTCCTAGTAAATTATCACTCCCCCTCTCCTTTTTCTTTCATTTCCATTTGTCTACATAGCCTTCCTGTCATTCCTGGCATGGGATGGGATGTTAAAGTTGTGTGATTTGTTTTCTTCACCTTTAAAGGGAGTGCCATTCTCATTACAATTGGCATCTTTCTCTCTTCCCCCCCCCCTCCCCCACCTCCCCTAGTGTTATGGAACAAGCATATTTCTAGTGTTACTGGGCCTGTTTTCTCAAGGCATTTTTTCTTCCCTTACTCACCTTTGTAACTTCCCTACTATCCAAGCCCAATTGTTAGCAGTGTGAGGAGCCAAGCTGTTCACAGGCTGCAATGCAATGAAAGGAATTTCTTTTCAATATACAAATAGATTCTGAAAGGCGAGGTCAGAACAGAAAGAGAGAAGGGAGATGTACTTACCTAGACTGCCTTGTGGTGATTCCGAGGATCAATGTTCCCACGGCCTGGTCTCAGACCAGCCTCCTGGCTGGTGGTCTGGTCAACCAGGTTCTTGGATGTCTGAATCACAGTCTGGCTGATAAGGTATCCTTTGGAGATGTTTATTGAGTTCTATCTTGAGCACCCGGAGAGGTTTGGCCAGTAATTCCCCTTATGTTAACGGGGAATGTTGAAAAGTCTTGGGCTTTTGATGTTGATAGCATTCTCTCGCTCTACCTATTGCACCACTGCTTTTTGGTGGGGATGTTACACAATGAAAATGTATTATTTACTTTCAGCCCTGGTGTATTAATCCCTCAGGAACCTCTCCATTAAAGGATGGCCACAGCAGAACTTTCTCAAGTAGAGTTTATTACTGCACAAAATCTGTCACGCTTTCAAACTTGCCCTTTTCCCTATACCGTGCTTATGCTACCAACTAATTACCACTAGTTCTCTTTGAGTATTGTCCCTTTCCATGCCTAAGTTTAATTTCAATGTGTCAGGATTGGTAGTAGTATATTGTTTCCATTTTTAATTCCTATACTAATATTCCTTCCTTTCATTATACCATTCTTTACCCCCTCTACATTTTCTGCTGCATCTTCCATAATGGTTTTCACACTGCTATAGTCTGGAAGACAGGTACAATTAAGGAATTGATGAAATGAGCTGATGTTTTATTGCTTCAAGTTATGTGGTGAGTTTGATCTGGCCTCTCAAGCGCAGAGTTGTGCATTTTTGTAACCAGTACAAAAAAGTAACTAATTTAGTTGCTTGCGAGTAGCCATTGAGAGTCGGCAAATTGTCTTCAAAATAGAATCAAATTGCTTCCAAGCTGTAACCATTCTCCCAGCTTACGAATTAAATACATTCTACATGATTTTGCAACCAAGTACTTGCAGTTAAATTTTTTATAAACTTGGTTTTTAGTAACCATGCTTATCTTTTTAGGCTAAATTATATTACAAAGGGAGAAATCAGAAAATATCATTAAGTAACATTGACTTGGCCCCCTTAAACCATTTGCATCTAGTAAGTTTTTTTGCCCTCAGGTAAATACATCTGCTGCAGAGTTTCTGTATGACAAAATTGGAGAGCTGGCAGAACTGGACGGCACATCAGCTATTCTGGACATCTGCTGTGGCACTGGCACAATTGGCATTTCTCTTGCAGATGTTAGTATTGAAAGGTTTTGTCTTGTTTGATTGTTTTAAATGCATAGTTTGAATAGATATTTATGCATGTTTTTTATATTTATTAATGTAGCCCCATTGCAACTACAGTGCTGTATTTACTCAAATATAAACTGCATCTTGGAGAAAATATTGTCATGACAACTTGCACTGGAATGCCATTATCATTTTAAGTTTTCTGAGCTTATCACACAAGGTTAAGATAGGTCTTATTTTGATATTGATAATTTCTTCTAGTGGTGTGCTGATTTCTCAATACAGAATCGTTTTTTTTATGTAATAAATTCCAGTAGATATAGGAGCAGCTAACTTCTGTCTACTGTTAGCATACTTAGGCATTCTCTCACAGCTTACCAGTTTTCTTTGGAATAGGATCTTCCAGTCAGATTACAACAAGGTCTCAAATTATTGCTGGGTAGACACTTGACCCTTAAACTGCTTCTGTCGTTCTCAAACGATAGATTGATGGAGCTCCTGTCATTTGTGAACAGTTTAATGTGCATCTTATTATTCAAGGTTCCTAGATACAATGTGTGGTTGTCATTCAACACTAAGAGACCTCTGGAAGGAGGAATCTATTGCAAATAGTTTACTTAAAAATTAATTTTAATTAAAATACTAGATTTCTTCTCAAACCTGAAATGTTAGTTTTAAGATATATTGAGGTAATTAAGTATTTTTTGTGTACCTGGAAAAAGGGCTTAATACATAACAGTGCACACTTAGAGGGTTAAGGATTGGTGACTAATCGTCACAGCTATCTTACGAAGATGAGTTATTAGGATAGACTACAGGAATAAAACCAGTAACTGAAAGACAGAAAAGTTAAGGGAGACATGATTATTGCATAAAATTATCAGGGTAATTGACAGGGCAGATAAGCCCAGATGCCTTGTTTGTGTACCACCCATTCCAAGTAAACACAGATGGACGCTCAAGTACTCAATTGAGCAACAGACATTAGAAATAAATTTTGCGGTCATAGTGAACAAGTTGAATGCACTAATGTGAGTGGTAGAGGCAAACTCCATTCACAGCTACGAAAATAATTGATAGAGTGCGGTAGTCTTCGCAACCTGCGCATCAGTTGATTGAAGACTTGTATGGCAAGACCAGAGATGTGAAATTCAAACCCAGCAAATACAGTTTGGCAAGTACTCCTGCCTGGGTTGGGTTGGGGACTTGACCACCTCCTCCACCTCCTCCACCCAATTCTATCTTAACTCGCCCAAACCTACCATGGGGCTCAACGATTGCTGTTTCTTAAACACTGCTGAACCCTTCTCCTCCAACCCTTTGACCAGACCTAACAATCGTGACCATTTTATAGGCTGTGGTATCAAAACAGCTGAAATTGAGGTTGTGCACATTCTTATTGTCTGCCAAATGCCATTCATGGTTGAGATCTTTACTTTTTCATGCTTTGCTGATGTTCTTGATGTCGTGCCCCATGTAATTTTTCTAAGAATCGGGAAGTGATGGCTTACAAAGACCATCTGTACCATCCACGCTGTGCAAATGTTACCCTTTTCTAATAATATTTAAAGGCTGATATAATGCCTTGATCAAAGTGGATAAACATAACATTTAAGGTTAGGGTGAAGGTCTCAAAAGTACACCCTATGTCCTGGAACATTATACAAAATTAATAAAACCTTCAAAATAAGGTTTTTTTTTTTTTTTTTTTTTTTTTTTTTTTTTTTTTTTGAGATATATACAAGAGTTGTTACATTCTTGTACAGCCACTAGTACGCGTAGCGTTTCGGGCAGGTCCCTGGAATACGATCCCCGCCGCGAAGAATCGTTTAAAGGTTCTTTTCAAAAAGAGAACAGAGCTATGAAAATTGGTTAAAAAACTGAAAACTGAATCTAGTACCCTAAGAGGAGAGAAGAAATCAAAATAGAAACTGGAAATGAAAATAAATTGAAATAATATAATGAAATACTCCTGTCCTGTTCCCAACCAATTGGTCTTGTCGGTGGAGCAACGACTTTACTTCTTGCAGGCGTACCTGAAACGAAGAGTGCAATACTCGATGGTCCAAGTGGTATATAGTTGTACTGGCCTAATGCTTTTTGACAATTATCTTACTTTACAGGTGGTTAAAAAGTTAAGCTACCACCACCACCCAAAACTTTCTAACCAGGTATGATTGCATTCAAACATCAAGAAAATTCAAATTAAACTGGTTAACACAAGAAGGCTAATGGGCATGAAAAGCTAGTTTTTACTTCTCCATATTCACTGTTAAGAATGACCACCTAATTTCAACCTTTTGATTCAGAGTGAACTAGATGTAACAGGTGACAGCACTGGCCTATGTAAATGCAGTTTATAACATTGTGTTCTCTCCTGTGTTGTAAGAAATCCCCTAAACATTTAAATATAAATAGGTGTTTAGTCCCAATTAACCTTGATTTTAGAAGTTGTATAATATACAAGTATAATGCTGTGAATAGATGCGTGTCATTTTGAATAACTTCAGTTAATTTTCTTAGTCAATTCCCCTCATATCATCTTATGACTAATGCATACCTACCTGGTGAAAATATTGATGTTTACATCTGTATTTCAGCGGTGCCTAAAAGTATATGGAATAGAGTTGGTTGATAAAGCGGCTGATGATGCCCGCTTTAATGCAGAGGAAAATGGAATGGATAATATAGTTGTGTTTACTGGAAAAGCTGAGGAGAACATGCAAGTGCTGGTGCAAAACTGTTCAAAAGTCAACGTTGTGGGTATTGTTGATCCTCCTCGTGCTGGCCTTAGTAAGTACCTAATGGTTTTTAAATGCTTAATAATCCATTTGTAGTGTTCATCAAATGTATTAATAAGTTATCCAACATTAGCAGATTATATAAGAACTTAGAAAATAGTTTTTACTCGTGAGTGTAATAGCATTATTTGATGTTCTTTCCTTCTTGTCCACAACCAATATCACCAACCCCTTATTGTTAATCCACCACTAGCATGAACCCTCTACACCTAATACTGGTACACTACCATCACAATACCTGTGATCAGTAGCACAAAAGGTCTGAACTCTCAGAGTGGGTATCATTAATACTTTTGCTGTGTAAAATGCTATTTGGGTCCAAAATAATTACATGTAGTTTGGGGGAGTGCGTGTGTCAGTGTGCGTCCACAGTGCGTCCAAAATTCCATTTGTTTTCAGATTATTATGCGACTTGTTTTCAAATGTGCACCAATGTCTTGCACCAATTTGATACCAAAATGAATGATGTAGCATGAAAATTGTGGTGAGAAAACTGGAGAGTATAAATATTGGATTGTGGTTGTGCGCTCACGGCACCGTCTGGCCTACCTTGCGGTATGCAGCGGGTGGCTTGCAGGCCCAAGCAAAGTGTTTAGTGATGATGTAGCACCCCCGAGAGAGGGGGGGGGGGGTTCCTTGGCTGCACAGTGGTGCTGTGAGCTCTTGCTATATGTCACCCTTGGCACTGAGGCTCTCAGTCAGAAGGGATACAGATTATTTTCACGATGCCATCTGTTTACTCGAGCCCTGTATACCTGCAGAAGTTTTAAATCTTCGCAAAACCTAAAGAAAGCCCTGTTTTTTTGTTCACCATCGATGCAACAACCTTGGTTATATGCAGTTGATGGGTTAAGGAAATGTCTTTCAACCTACTACTCCTTTCCTGCAGTTTTGTCTAGAAATGTCTTCCAGAAATATTCCAACACAGGCAGGAAGACGAACATTTTTTTATTTGATAATAACCGAAGGTCTGTACACGAGTCATCGCATTGAAAGTATTACTAAATAATTTTAGTTGTTTATGAGTCTTGGTGTACTTATTCTATTATGTTCATATAGATATAATAACTGTACATCAGTTATGTAAAAAACAGGCAAGAATAACTAAGACTGGCACATGACAATAACTGCAGTGACTTAGGACAAATGATAGCCAATCTTTAATGGTTAATCACATTGCAGTGGAATTTACTTGACATTTGTTTTTACAGGTTATCTCTGCATAATGTATTTATTTATACTACCTGCTTGCAATGTAACTGCTCTATATGGCAAGATAATAATACATTGGAGTGAAGTCATTTTGGTAATTGATAGTTTTCAATATTGAGAATTGAAGCAGCCCATCATCTTGTTGTTATAACTGACAAAGTGGTGAACTGAATTACACAAACCTAGCCTAACCTAACCACTGGAGCCACACATAGGAAACTTAAATGTTTGTGAACCACTATGATTTATAGTACGTCATATTTTGTCTGTGGGGACTTTTGACATTCAAAATGCGATGTAGTATTCGAGAGGGCAGACTGATTAAAGGGTATTAGAAGTGTTGCTGTGCACAACTTGAAATTTCATCTCATCTTCCTTTGTACACTAGAAGGAAAATATGAGTGTGCATGCAAGAATTTCAAATATTTTCAGTATTTAGATAGTCTGGTGATACAGTTCTCATTTTATAGTGAGGCATTTGTTTGCAGATGGTAATGTTGTGTTTGGCCTTCGTAAGTGCGACAACATGAAACGTCTGGTGTATGTATCTTGTGATCCCACTGTTGCTTCCAAGAATTTTATCAACCTGGGAAGACCACAGAGCAAGCAGTATAAAGGTGAATTCTTCATACCTCTAAGGTAAGCTGCACAAAATTGTAGTATTGTATGCCATTGAATGGATTCATTCTTCAGTTTTAATAGATTTGTTCATTCTGGTATTCCCTACAATGAGCAATAGATTGAATTTTCTGTGCCAATTATAATTGGAATTACTTTTGGAAGATGTGATCTTATGTTGAAGCAACTAGTGGCGAAGAAATGTTGCGTGGTAACAAGCGTACAGTGTTAGACAAAAGTATGTCCCACTCTGCTAGAGGCTGCACTTGTGGCAAAAAAAAAAGAAAAAAAAAGGGGGGGGGGGGATTGTCTTGTGGGTGAAATATTTGAGAGATATATGCGTCAAGTTCATGATGTCATGATGTGCACTAGCTTCCTGGAGTCACACAGCTGGGACGGTTGCTTGTTTTTCTCCCTCTCCCAATGGGTGAAAGTACCCCTGAAACCCTCTCCAGGTATGTTTTATACCAATTAGCAGTGGTGTTGATGGTATTATGCCACCTGCCAAGGAACTAAGCAAAGAAATCAATGCTTTAAAGAAGCACACCACTAAAGTTGGGAAATAAATTAATTGTTGGGGTGTATTTAATTTGACATGAGGAAGTATTGTGCACATTTCCTGGGGGAAAGAGTGATGCCTCACCATCAGAAACATCAGTCTGGTCATCCCAGGAAGATGTCTTCAAGATCTCTGAATGTTTTAAAATGTTCATTGGAGAGTACCCTTCATGTTACAACCGGGTGTAAACCCTGAAAAAGTTTTCCTGGGACGACAGATGTTTCTGTGATGGTGTGCCACCTCTGTTTTCCCCCCACAGAAACACTCAATACTTCATGTTGACTTGGACACACCCAGCAATTAAATTATTCTCTTTTGTGGCCTGCATCTTTTAAAGCAATCTGAGTAATGGTTTCTTTGCTTATTTCGTTGGTAGGTTTTTGGACACATAATAGCAATGTCTACTACACAAATTGCTAATTAGTGCAAAAAACAATGGATGGCCAGGGAGCAAAATGCAGCACACAACCACGGGCTGCTTCCTGGGGGTGGAAGCCTGGTTGAGGACCGGGCCGCGAGGACACTAAAGCCCCGAAATCATCTCAAGATAACCGCTCGTGATGACAGCCAAGTGCCCCCCGGCTCTGGTATTGTGGTCGCTCTAGAGAGTTAATGCCGTTGTATACAGTACAGTACTTTGTTTAAAATATTTCACCCACCAGACCACCAAATCTCCCCCCCCCCCCCATCCTCCTCCTCCTCCACGAATATGTGCTGTCCTGCTCAAGGCGACACATACTTTTGACTAGTACTGTATATGGCATTTATGGGTTGAGAAATGGAGTAACGCTTTGGTGGATGTCATATGATTAAATTACTGTTCATCTTATTAGATTAGTGTCACCTGTGAATGTGCTTTTTTCTTACACTATATAATAATACTTGTATTTTATTAACCTATAATTTATTACTGTATTATAATTTTTATTATACAGTATTTATATTAACACTTAACATGAAATATAAATACTGTATTGTATTGAACAATTTACAAAAGATTTCTATCCATACAGAGCAATACCTGTTGACCTGTTTCCCCACACCCCTCACTATGAGCTGGTCATACTGTTTGAGCGGTGGGAGGAGCGCAAGTGGCGTCGGATAATGGAAGGTAAATAAATCAATTTTTATTTACTTCAATAAATAGCAGGGTGTACGCAAGGGTTCTGGGTGTCGTGATTAGCTGGAGTCTTGGGTGTCATGATTAGTTGGGGGTCTTGGGTGTCATGATTAGTTGGGGGTCTTGGGTGTCGTGATTAGTTGGGGGTCTTGGGTGTCATGATTAGTTGGGTGTCTTGGGTGTCATGATTAGTTGGGTGTCTTGGGTGTCATGATTAGTAAGTTGAAAGGTATAATTGCGCCAGGTGTGGCCTGTTGGGTTTTATACTTCTCATAAACTTGTTTTTGTAAGATGAATTTGCATTTGAACTTGGAATGTCTTCCTCAATTGACTGATCAAACATATTTATATTTCTAATATTATTCGGCCTCCAAAATTAAGTATTCCTTGTAATAGGTACTGTATCGTGATTCAGGATTCATATATTTCAAAATTCTAATAATTGTTTACATTATTGGCATGGATACTGGGGATACCTTCCACGATTAGTCCATAAAGTCTTCTGATTAAGGAAGTATGATGGACGAAGGTTAAACTAGCAAAACCTTTTTGTTTCAGGAAACCCACTTCCACGAGATGAGGAGTACTTCAAACGCATTCCTCAGAGACCCAGACAGGGACATGATTTCCAACAACCCACAGTGAGTTTTCCTTCTTCATTAATTTACCCTTTTTTAATATTTATAAGATCTTTGTAAATTATTTGTTAAAAAGGTTTGCATTGTTTATTAGTAAAGCTTGTATATCAGCTGGAATTTAACACTTGATATTGGTAATAATTGCATTTTGCAAATTGCAAGACATTGACAAAATTAAAAAAAAATCAACTTGCATAGTTAATATGAATAAATTAGATTATTCAAATTATGGTTCTTTCTGAATGTTTATTTTTAGACTTCAGCTTAAAAAATAAGTGGCTTACAAATGGGACATATATATACAGAATAATAAAATTGATAAAATAAGATATTAAATATGAGGTTACCTTGCACTGATTCAGAGGAGCGACATCCCTCCTGACCCAGTCTCTGATCAGGCCTCGTGGAGAGGGTTCCTGAAGCTCTACTCCCAAAGACAGTTATTCAGTATATTCAATTTTAATAATAAAAGGATAGACTGGTAAAAAATAAACAGGGAACTTGCAAATATTCAATGGGGAAACTGTTCTAAGTAATACAATTCCCACACAAGGAATAGAAAAATAACTTCTGAAGCATATAAGTCTGTCTGAAACATATTCCTTTGAGGAAAGCCAAAAAGAGGTCCAATGTAGAAAGAGAATGCAGACAAAACTACAAAAGAAGGAAAAAATAACAGTAATGCTTAAGCAGACACAACTTTTCCTGCAAAGAAGGAATAATTTTAATTTAAACAGGGAGATTGAAGAAAGGTAACTAGAGCAGAAAGCAATTCAAGAAATAAAGAAAACCCCAAAATATTTCTTCACGTGTGTAAAATCAAAGGCAAAAAAACAGTCAGTATTGGACCTGTTCGTACAAATGAAGGGTCATACACTGAGGAACTGATATCAACACGAGCGTGGCAGATTTTGAAAGAAAGTGACATGCCCATGCACTCGGCCCCGGGTCCAGACTCGTGGAATTCAACATTTATAGAAATGCAAAGTGCCAGTAGCACAGGCACTCAGTATGGTGTGGAGGAAGAGCTTGGATACTGGGAAGATACCAGATGTTACATACTGTCCCATACAGCTCAAGAATAGACAGTATTCCACTAATTTAACCCCACTCTGTACATTAGCACAGAAAATGAGGACAATGAAAAGTGAACTGAACTAAAACTCCAGTGTATTTACAGGTCATAACATACATAAGCTGTCCCACACAATTACACACTTTAATACCTCGTGACCTGCTCAGAATGGAGACAGTCTCTCGTGCTCACAGCTATTGATAACAGTCACAATAATAAGAATTTCCCCACCTTACAGGGGAATACTAATCAAATGGCTATTTCACTCCAAGTATAAACACAATTCTGCCGCAGGCGCTTCTGCCAGCATGCGGCCTGCAGTCGGACGAATGCGTTCAATTGCCCAGGGCTAGTGATTTCCCTACTAAGCCATCTCTCTTAAGCTATCATTCATTTACTTAGAAACTGATTAGCAAAATTTAGCTGATCATAACTGGGACAACATGTAAGTAAATGAATCAGTACTAACTAAATACATATGATCTAACATAGGCTTCCACACAGGCTGGGGTGACAGGCCTGGCCTAACTGTCTGCTGCCACATGCACAAGGACTGAAAGTAACATTACTGCTAAACAAGACTACTGACTGAATATAGGTGAAAGGTATATGTAACAGCTTACATTAGGTAAGCTTTAAACTGAAATACTGACATACATAAGAAGTACAGTAACTGACGAGAAGGAAAACTGGCAGCGGTCCGCATGTCTGCCATGTGTGTGTGTGAGGTGACTCGGGCTTCTACAAGCATAGTATTATCCACTACAATCAATATTACAATAGGTTAAAACATCCTTGGCCTTAACTGCCTTCATTCACACTCTTAACTATACAACTCTAGAGTTCTGCAAAACATCTCTGGGCCATGAAGACACTAGCAACTCTCATGCATTCTAAACACTCGCAACAGGGTTGGCATCCCTAATCCCACAATATCCTGTCGAGCCAGAGAGACCTCCAAATACCTCCTCGCTCTCCTGTTCCCTCACATACCAATCCCCTACAACATGAATACCTGCTATTCATCCAAGACATGAATAATACTCTCATTCCTACAATATATAACAATAGGTAACAAGGCACAATCTATCATCTTTATTCAATCTTAAGGGTTAATATGTTAATTACTTCTACATAAATGTTAGAGTAAAAAAAATCGTCACTGATATACTGGTTCGTAACACCAGATGCGCTTAAATCAGCAGACATAGCCCCTCTAAACAAGGAAGGGAGCAAAGCATTGGCAAAGAATTATAGACCTGTTACACTAACGTCCCACATATAAAAGTATTTGAGAGTGTGATCAAGTCAGGTCACCAGTTTCATGGAGACCAATGGCTTCCACAACCCAGGCCAACATGGATTTAGAGTAGGAAGATTTTTGCTTCTCACAGGATACAGTCCTTGTACTATTGCTTTTCCTTATTCTCATATCAGATATAAATGAAAATACAAGTCACAGCTTCGTTGCAGATGACACAAATTAGCATGAATATTATCTCTGCTGAAGACATGAAAAACTCCAAACAGATATTAATAAAGTTTTTGACTGGGCAGCAGAAAATAACATGATGATCAACAGTGATAAATTCCAGGTACTCGGGTACAGTAAAAATGAGAATCTTAAACATAACACAGGGTAAATAAAAAAACAATCAAATCTGCCCATAGTAGGAAAGCAGCATGTAAAAGATTTGGGAATAATAGTGTTTAACGTTTAGGGAGCATAACCAAGCAAATATTTTGTCAGTCAGGAAAATTATGGGATGGATTACAAGAACTTTCAAATCCAGGGATCCCATCACAATGGTTGTACTATTCAAATTACTTGTGCTGTCCCATCTTGAATACTGCTCAGTGCTCACTTACCCCTGCAGAGCAGGAGTGTGCACTGAAATAGAGGGAATACAGAGAACAAACATATACTGCACGCATAGATGCAATAAAGCACCTAAATTATTGGGATTGTCTCAAAGCTCTCCAAATGTACTCGCTAGAAAGGAGACGAGATAGATATCAAATAATATACACGTGGAAAATACTGGAGGGCCAAGTTCCAAATCTACTCGGTAAAATAACAACATACTGGAGCGAACAATATGGAAGAAAATGCAGAATAGAACCAGTGAAGAGCAGGGAAGTGCCATAGGCACAATCAGATAACGCTGTATAAACACCTGAGGTCCACGGTTGTTCAATATCCTCCCAGTGAGTATTAGAACTGTTGCAGGAACTACCGTGGACATCTTCAAGATAAAACTAGGTAGTTTCTTCGAGAAGTGCTGTACCAACCAGGCTGTGATGAATGTGGGCCTGTAGGCAGCTCCAAACAATCATGCTGCTACAAGTGAACCATGTTGGACTGTGCTCACTGTGTTGGACTGTTGGACCAAGTTTTCACTAGTTAAGCCTGGCCCAAGTAGAACCTAGAACCCCCATCAAGCAGGTAAGCCCAGTCTGGGCCAAGCCTGGTGGCCTGGTCATCCATACTGCTAGATGCCGCTGCTCGCCTCCTGACGTGGATCATAGCCACGGAAACTTTTACATTGCAGTATTAAGTTCCAGCTCTTGGTGAAGCCATTGGTCGAGAGGAAAATAAAAGAGAGGGGGGGGGGGGCTCGCTGAGAGTTCAATCTTAGGCCAAAAAGGGAAAGGAAGGAAGGTGGGGGATGTCTAGAGATTACTTTGTTCTCTGGAAAGGAACAATTCAAGAAAAACATGGCTACATGAAATTTGTTAATATCATTGGTGTGTTATAGGAAAGAGCTGAAATATGCCAGGTTTCATGGCTCAAAGTATAGATGATTAATTGGGGACAATGCAAAAATGTATAAGAAGCAGAGAATAAAGAAAGCTGTAAAGGTAGTGTGCCTGGAATGCACTTTCAGGAAATTTAGCAAATTTGATGACAGCTCCCCCCCTCCCTTTCCACCCCTTTGCCATCGTGAGGGGGGGGGGTAGGGGGGCGAGGCTTGGTACTCACCTAATTGTGCTTGCGGGGGTTGAGCTTTGGCTCTTTGGTCCCGCCTCTCAACTGTCAATCAACTGGTGTACAGATTCCTGTGCCTACTGGGCTCTATCATATCTACATTTGAAACTGTGTATGGAGTCAGCCTCCACCACATCAATCCTAGTGCATTCCATTTATTAACTACTCTGACACTGAAAAAATTCTTTCTAACGTCTCTGTGGCTCATCTGGGTACTAGTACCAACTGGTGGGCAGTTGCCAGTGTGAGATGATCTTTGGGATGGTTTGTCCTCTTTCCTTTTGAAGCCTTATGCTCCTGCTGCTGTCTTCACTAATTTTGCTGGTTGCCTTTTTCCTCTTCATGTTTCATTTGTCCTCCCCACCTCTTCTCATTTCTGATTGTTTCCTTCCTGTCAATTTTTGCCATTCTTGAATATTCTTTCTGATTTCTTCTGTTTTGACGCCGGGTGTTTAGGGAGGCACAGTCTCGCCCGTAGAACTGGTACTTGATATTGACGAGCGAGGGGATGCTTTTATTGTTAACTTGCCTTCATTGCTGAGCCCGATCTCAACGGACTGACGGCTCTTAACCCCTGGGCGGTGCTTGTTATTATAGCCTGTAACACTGCTAAGTGCAAGGAAAAAAATATAAAAATTTATTTCTTGTTAAAGTGTTCAAATGTGTTTCCTTATCATGGGGGTGGGAGTGATTATTTCTGTTTACCAATGATGTGAATGAGCTGAGAAATTTGATTATGATGTCGCAGCAAGTGCGCGCTCAAGCAGTTTGAGTTGCCACAAATTTATTTTTGCTGCATTGTTTAGTGTCTGGCATATTTTAGCACAATTTCTTTTGCAGATATTGTTCAATATATTGTCACTTGATGTTTTATTATAATACAACTTGCATACATTCAGTACACTCACATATTAGTGTCAAAATTATGCACATGCAAAT